CATAGCCACACCACCACGAGTGTAAGGCAAAAAAGCACATAGTTATTGCACGCACGCCTGCACAACACGATGTCTTTCTCTATCTTTCTCAGTACTACTACTTGTTTTTCTCTTCTCAGTGATTTTTTTTTGTTTGCCACATGTCCGTTGATGAATGTCATCCTTTATCCCCTTTCACAGAAACTGCGCAAAAACTTTTCTCATCCGATAAAATTTTTCTCTCCCCTTCCTCTTCACGTATGTAGCATGTAGACCGAAAGAGTTCTTCAGCCGCGTAAGACAAGAAATAAAGCGACAATGAACAATCAACGAGTAGAGTGTGTAGTTTAGATGTATCTTTTTCCTTGTTTTGACCATCGTGAGCAATGCTAACATAACTCGGAGAGACACGTAATGGAATGAGTATCCGGGTGAGTATGTTGGCAATGCACGCGTGAGCGACTAACCAAACTTCCTTCTTCTTTTACTCATCCTATTTTCAAGGAATGCCAGTATGTGACCTATTGTACTTAAATTGAACAGGCGCCGCTGATGTTTATGTATAAATGTCTACTAAACATATGCATACATACTAACAATGTCCAGCGAAGATTACGGCGTCGGCGACTTGTGATAGTAGAGAGAAAAGTGCTTTTCAGCGTATAATGGGTATTTTTTTATAATTGTAATGTAAACTCTTTGATGACGGCATGAACAAAATCTGAAAGCTTATAAGTTTTATATGAATAATAGTGTTACGATGCACTATGATCGGTTAATTTTTTTCATAATCGTTAACTATAAATTAATATTCAGAAAAACTGTACGAAAAGACAATGAATCCTATTAAAAACCCTTATTTTCAACGTGCTACGAAGACCAATTCTATATAAGCATCGGGATAAACAAAAATAGTCTGGCCTGTCATCCGCACTTCTGTCAACAATTTCAAAACGTCCGGCAGACCTGCGTTGTCGCGTCATGGCCTCAAAACCAGGAGCAAAAGTGACGCCGTCGTCAGTGGTTTGAACGTCCTTTCATATGTGTACACAAAACGTTGAAGACGCGGTCAAGGTCGTGACGGCGCGTGTGGAGAATGGAGCGCAAGGTCGCGAGCGCGAGCGCTAACGAAAATTTTTCCGAAAATCGATCGCAAGAGCCTTACCGGAAACTAGGTTGCACGCGTATACTAACACCGATTTATGGACTAATTTACCGGCTTCTCTGCAGATAATTAGTTGATTGCTGTGATTTACTTCGTTTTGTGCGGCTTAAAGGTCATTTGCATTTTATGTTTTTTTTTGCGCGGCCGTTGTGAAAGGAGTTCATTTTTTCAAAAAGAAAGAAATAAATTTCAAGTCAGAAGAATGACTTTCAACAACTTGATTTAACGGAGGTTCAATTAAAAGTTGTTTTCGTCATCAAAGACTTTCCATCTCTCTCTCTCTCTCTCTCCTATGCAAAGATGTCGTTTTCTTCATTTGGACAAGCTTCTAATTGGCGGTGTAGATATATACGTAAGGTCATTCGTTTATTTTTCAACTTTGTTCTCTCTTTATTTGTCTCCTCTCCGTACCTCTCATACAACAGAGTTGTTTTCCACATATCAATATATATAAGTATAAACTAACTACACTTTTGTTTCTTTACCTCAGAGAGAAAGAAAGAAACGAAACTCTTTAATCAGTCCACTTAATCTTGAGTAGTTTCTTTTTCTCTTTCACTACGAAAGCATTCTGATTCAACTGCTGCACGCGAACTTTTTTTGCTGCGAAATCCGCATACATACTAATCGTCTCAAGTGACTACGAAAAAGCCGGAGAACTTTGTTTCGCGTACGTCACTTAAGCGTCGCCCTCTCTTTCTACAACAGTTTTCATAAATTTCAATTTTTTTTATATACTATCGTGCTGCCACATTGCAACGGTGAGTTATTATTGTTCTTGACTTATGATTTATAATGTCAAGAATAGTGTACAATTTCAAAATCTCACGAGAGATTGAACGAGCGGTTGTTAGTTTATCGAACGAAATCGTTGAAAATTGTTGTCGTAAAAACCCCGAATCAGAAAGCTTCTATATAGTAATTTATTATATTATAATATTTTTTGTATTCTAAGAAAAATTTAGCTTCATGTGACAAGGCAACTAAAATATTAGTCACATTGAGCTAAATTTATAAAAAAGACTGCCATTTCGAAAACGTAGCTTTTCAAAATTACAGTCAAATGTAATAAGTGTCATTCCAAAATTCTATACGAAACCTTTTTCTTATATATATAAAAGTATGTGTGTGTACACGCGCGCGTGTGTGTAAATAAATGTAGTAGTAAAGAAAAAAAAATGCGCGCAAAAGAAATTTGTTATAAAAGCGAATGTAATATTAGAGCAGGTTGTGTTTTTTCTTTTTGTTTTCTGTGTCTTTCTCTCTCTGTCACGCTCTGAATTGTGAAAATCTCTGTACTGGGTTCTCGTTGTGCGGGGCCCCGGTTTTGGTAAACCATTCTTCTCCCCTCCTGAAGTTGGATACACAATGCGCGATATTCGGTACAAATGGAATTCTGGCCTACAGTCGGTCGGCATCTCGAGCGAGGTGGAACTGCCGCAGTTTCGCGTGCTCGGGCACAGGCAGCGACAGACAACCATACACCTTTCTACAGGTAGATATCTATCTCTCTTTACTCTCTTCTTCTCTCTCTCTTTCTGTCTCACTATCTCTCTTTTTGGTGCTATCGTCTCTCTTCTCTCTTTCTTTCTCGACGACATACATACATAGACACACACACACACACACACATTCTCTCTCTACTTCACGTCTGACCAAACTCCGACTCTCACTACTGGATGTCGAAACTTGGGCTTATTCTATTTTCTCTCGTTCTGTTTGCCTATTTCATCACCATTCACACTAATATATACACGCGGCTCCCTGTATTTTCATATATTCATTGTTTTTTATAACGTCTATAACAATTATTATGTGTGAGTATATAATGACACCGTAAAATTAATATATATCGCACACATATATTTCACGTTCAGCTATCACTTATCTATATATAAATTATATAATTGCGTATGGATAAACCTAGTCGCTTTAGCGGATGGTGTACACGTATATATCGATTACGTATTCCCTTTCGTTCTCTGTCTCTCTATGTATGTTTATTTTTCCTTTTTATGCCTAGGAGAGTCACTGATACAACTCGCGCGCGTTCGAGTTTACTTTTCTCTTTCTCTCTCTCTCTCTCTCTTTCTTTCTCTCTCTCTCTCTCTCTCTCTCTCTTTCTATGTATATGTATATACATAGACATATAGACACACATATATATATATCCTCTATTGAGTATACAAACACGCTTCTACTGCCTGGAAAGTTTGATGACTGGACTGATCTAAACATTGCACACTGAATTTCGTAAGACAAATAATACATGGTTGAAGTTTTTTACTGACTTTAACTAAGTAATATCTGTTAAATCACTGGTAAATTTCAATTGTTAAACATGTTCATTATTTTTAAAAGGAATATAATAACATGAAATATTTAGCTCTGATAAAAACGAATTATAAAATATGCCTTGATTCTTTGAGTATATAAAACGAATTTTTAAGCGTCGAACTAACTTTTGTAAAATTAATCTATCGGAAGAATTATGAAAAGTTACTAATTAATTTTCTCGTTCAGAAAGAGACCAGTAAAATTTTCCATATTTGAGTGGTTGGCGGGACGAAAAGCAATTAAATCTTTTTTGCCCATTCACTCTCAAACGACGAAGACCGAACAGAGCTGGCTCCTTAATCACTCGTTCTTTTTCTCTCGGGGTGGTCGCGGTGAACAGCCACTCGAGGCCGCAAAACAAGACGACGACGAGAACTGGACGTCGCCGAATCTAACGACTAGACGGTGACGAGCGCTAAATTCCCAGGAGCTTTCTAATTGGAAAGGGAAGCCGCGGCGAGGAGGAAAAAAAACAAGAATGAATTCCAATCGAGTCGTTTTCTTCACTCTCTCTCTCTCTCTCTCTCTCTCTCTCTCTCTCGCTCTCGACTTTTTTTTCCTTCGGCTGACCGAGTGCACGCCAAGATTTTGCTTGAATAGCAGTATAACGAGTCTACGCCGATAATAAATTGCCGCGGGTTTTCCGATGACGAAGCTACTTTTATTGGTATCGCCAAGTTTGATGATTTGTCGATGGCGACTGAGGAAATGTTTACGCTTCTTTCTCTTTTATTTTCGTCGGATAAGCGATTTATTTTATATGGTTTTTTTTTTGTAGTCATGAAGCTAATCAGAATTGTCGATCTATATAGGTAAATATATAGGTAAAAATCGGCTGTTTATTTAAAAATTCAACAATTTTAAAGTATATCCATAATATTAAAAGGTATAAACACAAAAAAATTCAACTGTACATGTAACCGAGTGCAGTCGCACCAAAAATCGACCTAATAACTTATCCGTTGACTAATTAAGACTTAATTAACCGTTAAAAACACAGGAAAACGAAAAACAGAACCATCTAAATAACTAGCTTCAGTCCAGTTTTTGCAAGTATTCTTCACAGTTCGTATAAGCTCTATGTACAGATTAAACAAGAGAGAGAGAGAGAGAGAGAGAGAGAGAGAAAGAGAAAGAGAGAGGGAGATAGTAGTAGTTAATGTCTCCGCAATAAAAAGAGTTTTTGCGGTACATTAAGCGTTTCACTGTTGAAATCACGTCGCAAAGACTGTTTCTCCAGTGTGACATTATCTCGCATCGATACAACACACACGCTAATAGCCTTCCGCAGTTTTTCGTTTGTTTTTTTCTTTTTTTTCTTTTCATTTCTCGCTGACTTTCCTAAATATCCTCGAAGCGAAAAAAGAAAGAAAGAAAGAGAAGCTCGCCCGCCACACGCGAATGTACGTTAAAAAAAAAGAAAAAATAAGAGCGAAGGTAAGTGGAGGCCCCGTCGCTCTCGTCACTCGTACGTGTGCAGAGGACGCAACACCAAGATGGGCCTCTCTCGTTTTTCCAGTCGGCTACACGATGCGCGACATCCGCTACAAATGGAACGAGGGCCTTAACAGCGTCGGCGTCAGCAACGACGTCAGCCTGCCCCAGTTCAAGGTCCTCGGACATCGGCAGCGAGCCCACGAGATTAGCCTCACCACCGGTAATGTATCATCATCTCAACAAATCTCCAACCAACCAACAACTGCAATCAACCAACCGACTGTCTCTCTCGTAACAAACATAGAAACAAATTGTGATCCTGTTCATGTTCTTTTTGTGGGATTCTTCTGTCTATAATATATTATTAAAAAGTAACGATTTTGTTGCAATCGTTGCCACTTTGTCATATCTACATTTTGATTATCTTTGCCAGTATGTATCTTTGAAAAACAATCTTTCAGTGGGAGCGTTATAACGATGTTTGAAATCGTAATCTCAAAGAAAGATATTCTTAAATGAAAAAAAAAAAATTTAATTACGAAAATGGCAAGTGTGGCGTAACCGAGTCTAGGTGAGAGCTGTGTAATTGAAAATTCAAATTTATACCGCACGTCGGCATTTAATTGGTCAATTACAACGATAATTAAAAGCGCACCCCATTAACCTTAATATAATTTTATTAACCGGTAAAACTATAATGTCAAATATATTGGATATTAATTTTACGTTCCACTAGTATAAACTTGACCGATGAACGTTATTATAGCTTCGAAAATGACGTAGCCTAAAAAAAACAAAAAGCTTCGTCGTAAATTTGACTATACTTATCTCCTCGCATACCGCACATCCCGAATCATTCGAGAAAAAAAATAGCTCTCGTGGCGCAACGACAACGAAATACTCGACAAGAGAGAGGAGAAAAGAAATAACACACATCCGAGCCTATATATGCTGCATACACGACGAAAACAAAAATACGCCCGTCGTCGTCGATGCAAGATTCATGAACGTGTAAAAAAAAAAAAAAATTTACGTATGTATGAGTGGAGGATCGAGGGAAGTCGAAAAATATCGGAGAGCTTTGCTTGCTCTGATTTATTTTCGCGTGCTCGATGCCCTTCCTTCATTCCTCTTCTCTTCTTACTTTTCTTATTTTGATCCACGAGGCGTTTCCGCGCAGCACCTATTTTCCGTGTAGCTTTAGGTAGATATTCTTTTCATCGCGATCACTTATTTCTCTTTTTTTGGGGGAAGTTATTTGATTGAGCACCGTTTTCTTTCGGGTGAATTGTGTAACGAGAAAGTGGATCAGAAGTGATCAATTTAGTTTTGCAATGCTAATTGATTTTGGTAAGGAATACGGTTCGTCCATTTATTATTCAACCTGATTTTTGCCATTTTAATCTAGAAATTTGCGTTCTACTGATACCCGACGGTGTATAAATTTGGGTTGGATCAGATTATAATCCAATATAAAATTATCTACGACCACAATCCCGAATGAAGTTACGAGTTCAATAACCGACTGGATCAGATTCTTATCCGATGCTTCATCTTCACAACCCAATTCAATAGTCTCAAATTTGTTTCGAGCTTTCATCCTAAAAATAGTACGCATAACAACACCTTGCAAAAGATAACATCAAACGTCCGAGATGCGCAAGCTGTTTTTTCCTCCGCTCCAAAAAATAAAGTCCATCCGAACAAAAGACTCGAGCCTTCTTCAGTATAATTTCGCTATCGCGATTCTTTTCATTGCGTTTCGCTTGGCTTTTTCCATCTTGCAAGGCGTTGTCTGATTTCACAAGGGTTGGCGAGAAAGGGAAGAGAAGGTACACCTGTCTTTTAAGGACAAAATAAGGAAAATGAAAATTCTCGCGCGCTGGAAATAGAAAATTTTCAAGAGTCCCTCTATTTAGAACAGCAGATGCAAATGTTTGGAAATCAATATCACGATCAAGGTCCGCGAGATTATCACTTTAGTTAATGTAATTTGATTATCGTAAAATATATGTAAATAGTAGATAGTCAATGACAAACAAATGTACCAATAATTACCGAGTGGACGATAGAATTTCGTTAGAGCCGATGCCGAAATAGCATTGATCTAGAGAACGAGCGTCTCCGGCATATATCTGCTTATTCGCAAATGCAAATGCTTGCATAGGAAGGCAGCAATGCACATAGCCACGGGGAGTATAATTGGGAGTAAGCTGCTGCTGTATATATTGAAGCGAGTGAGATGCATTCGTATATGTATATACTCACCACTTTGGCTCTATTGATAGTATATATACATCCGCCTATCATTAGTTGGCCGCCTTACTACTCAATGGAGAATCGTTATCCCTATGTGTGACCTTTTTTTAAGCCGAGTCGCAAAGCTGTAAATGATTGCTGTAACGAGGGACGATCTTTCCGCCTCCTTCAAACGTGCATAGATGAATTTCAATGCACGTAAATTTGTTTTTAATGAGTTGCAACTGGAGTATCTCTTCGGCAAGGGTGTAAAAAATTGAAAAAAAAAAAAAAAAGAAAAGCGTATGCTATTTTTGTGTATGAACGAGGACTCTACTGATTGAGATACATGCAAATTGAACAACTCAAAATTAGAAGGATGCGCTGAAATATTTTCTTAAGGAAGTATTTTTTTCAATTTTTATTAATTTAATTTTTGTCGGTAATATTGTTACATTATTCGTCACGTAATGAATGTAAATTATACCGGAGAGAGTATAGGATAAAGAGAATTCTACAAAGTACATAAAGAAAGAAAGAATGAAATCGAAAAGAAATAACCGTAAGACAAACTTAACTTGAATCTTTTTAAATGAATGGCAACCTACAGGCAACTTCAATTTTCCAATATTCCATTTGAAATGCATCTTGCTATGAAGTTTGATTCAATAAAACTGAAAAGTACGTCATAAACTTGAATAAGTGATTTTTCAAAAAAATGATGAGACTCCCCCTCTGCATGGCTATATTATAAAACAAACATAGTATTATTCTTCGTAATTATACTGACAGTTTCCAAAAGGAAAGTTAAAACAAAAAATTGAACAGTTGTTATCAGGCATTACAGTTTCTACAACAATTGCTTATTAGACGAAAATATTGTCATGCCGTGTTTCGTCCGCCTCGACAGTTTTTCAGAACGTTGAGCGTAAATTGATTTCCAAAGCAAAACATTGATTCGGCACAAGAGAGAAAGAGCTCCTTCAATATTATTTTACCGAGCATTTACTTCAACTTTCTTCGAGTAAACATCAATATAAAACACACAGGGTACGGCAAGCGCGAGCAGATGGCGGTATAAAATCTCATTTTCCAAATGCACGCCCGAGAGCAAATATATATACTTTTCCAATCTGCTAAGAATATCGAAAAATCTCTCTCTTTCTGCGTGGTGCTTTTTCGAAAGATAAAGGAAGCAATTCGCCTCGACGATATATTAAATCGGCACTCTCTGGTTCGCCTCAACTCTCACCACCTGACCTCTCCTATATGAAAGTTTGCTCGCGCGCCAACGACAACTTGCCTGTTTTCCGTTCTCGTGAGTTAATGGCTGCGCGATATGTGTTAAAGATAAGTTATAAAATAGCCAATACATATATTTCTAAGATACCAATTTATTTTAAAATTAACAAAAGAAATTATTAAATGTTACTGAGAACCATACAATATACACGAATTAAAAATTATTAAAACTGCAAAATACTAGTATAGTAATATTGCAGAAGAAAATTCCGTCATTGCTTTGCATCAGTTCTGAAGAACTGCAGGTACATATTTACTAGGATATTGTTTTCGTACTGATGTTTCTTTTCTTTCTGGCGCATCTATAGCTAAACTGTAGAACTAATTGACGATCAATCATTTTTTCAAAAGAATATCGTATCATTAACTCAATTATAAATCTAACTATAATTACGTTGAAAATCTCGTTTTACTTGTCAAAAATACGAGCCATCAATCTGATTCGATTGACATTTAATCACAGTCATTATTGAGTTTATGCTCATGCGCTAAGAAACATTTTCAATATTACCAATCGAATGAAAATATAATTTTTTAAAAAGGCAAAACGATTAAAAACAATATATCATCGAGTAGTTCAAGGAAAAAGGGACGTCGAATAAAGACATGTCTCTCGCTTCTTGGAAGCTGTTCTCTCTTTCTCTCTCTCTCTCTCTCTCAGGAGCAAGGACTTTGCACAAAGCACGTCGCGCTAGTTGACGAGCAAACAGAATGGTCGATCTATTGGAAATGTCGCAGGGGGGGGGGGGGGAGGCGTGTTATACACAGCTTGCAAACTTGGGAAATGAAGGAAGCGCACTGGAGGTTTAATCATTCGTTGGAAGATCGACAGTCACTTTCTTGCTCTTCCACTACCTCTTTATTTCTGTGTTTTAACGTGCCTTTCTTTTCCTGCTGTACGAGTACTTTTTTCTCATTAAGCAGCTGCTTCTCTCATCGACTGAAATGTTTTCCTGGGATTTTAAATATTTTTGAAATGTATCCTTAGTCGTGTACTTTTTCTTCGTCACGATATTGAAAACAATCTCGGAGAAATCAGAATGACGGTAGAAGCCGCGAAATACATTTCTTAGTTCGTCGGGTAGAATTTGAATCTCCGAAATATAACTCAGCAAGTCTTGTCTCTTGGCGTCGCTTCTCTCTCAATCTCATCCGTTACTCCGTTATCGCCGCCGAGATTCCGAGAGTCCGAACCGCTGCGTTCTGTCATCCTCTGCCCTGAATAATCGGTGGCCATTCATTTGCAGGAACAGCAAAGTTGGCGTCTGCTACTGCTGCTGTCTCGGCCAGACCAAAATTATTTCCTTAATTAGGAAGAAGAGCACCCCGAATTAATCACAATTAAAGGCTCATTCGTCTGTGGCGCGCGCGAGAACATTAACATCCGTGATTTGCGACGAAAAACCAGCTTTTTTTCGATACACTCCGCGCGACTTTTCGACTCATCAATCTTCTTTTTCTTTCGATTCGACAGCTCTCCGAGAGAGCCGAGACAGACACGCCAATTTCACGACTTGCCGCAGTGAAAAGTCCTTTTCCTCACTCAGTCCTGGATCATCCAATTACTTGGCGGCGTACGAGAGTTGAACCATTAATTTGTTTTCAACTTCTTAGTCTTTTTCCTTCTTCTTCTTCACCACGATCTAAACGCATCCATCTTACTTTTGAATCTTAAAATTTCCAGTTATTTATACATGATGAACATTGCGTATGATATAAATCATTGAAGTATTATTTGACACCATGCTACAAGTTTACTATAGTTCTAGAACTTACACACAGATGCACTGCAAGTAGAAGTCAACATTGGCACAAGTATTATTGCGTCAAAAATAAATTGCTGTGCTTATTCGGAATATTTACCATCTTGAATACAATCATCTGATTATTTTAAGTTGCGTTTGCTTCTAACTGTTTGAATAATTTATTGTTCTACATTTGCAACAGAAAAATAGTATCGCATCGAGAATCTTTAAGAAACTCCTGAAAAAAGACAAAATTCAAAAGCTATAAAAAGGCATTTAGAGCAAGATAAACTTGGAAGTTGCGGGCCATCCATAACTCTCAAATCCGCAGCATAAATAAGCCATTCCAGAACGAATCTTAACACGTCTCAGTGGGGATTTTGCTCTACGGGTTGGCGGATAGCGTCTTTCTCTCTCTCTCTCTCTCTCTCTCTCCCTCTCTCTCTCTCTCAAACTCTTAGGTGGCTTTTACATCGGGTGGTTTGCCGTGGCGACACTGCCTGAATACATCTTACTACGTGACTCGCGAAGCTGGTTTGGAATGACAATGACGGCAACGCGCAACGCCCAGCAGCGCAACCGAGTTTTATCGGGTTTAATTTAGTTTCACGCGTACGACCTCGTTTTCACCTTTGCCGATGTTTCTTTTCCTTTTTTCTTTCTTCTTTTTTCCCTCATAAATTAACTTTTATCAAGTATAAACAGTTCTCTACACGACAGGGTAGTAATAATCTCTATGGCAGTAATGACCTTCCAAAATTTCTGGTATTACGTAAGTTCTATGTTCGGTCTCTTCGTTGTTTTTACTAGATACATTTGAAGGGAAAGGATCCAACAATTTATTGAACGCGGCAGCATTTTTTTCGCGCTTGTATAGCGAGGAAAAAATACGAACAGAAATAAAGTTCGAAGTAAAGTTCGTAAAAGTCCACGAGAAATAAAGCGAATTAATTTTTTTGCAAATTGTAGTAGCAGCGTGACAGTCTGTGGGAATCGACCGAAAGGAGTTGCGAATATAAATCACCACCACTATTAGCAATAAACGTAGCAATAAAATAAACATTAAATGATGACAAGTAATATTTTTTCCAAAAATGACTTTTGTTTTTATTCACGTTCGATTGGTAAATTACAACGCCAATCATTTACAGTTCCGAGAATTGTACGTGTTGAATAAAATATGAAAACTTTACCGACAGAAAAGTTAACAACTGGATTGTATTTCATTTGCAAATATCGGATGAGAAATCCCGACATTTCAACAAACTACGTACGTTTTTTTAAATCCCATTCGACGTATATACAAGATAAAATAGCAATTTCATAAATTCACCTCACAGAAGAATAATGAGAAGTAAAACGTAAATCGAGAGACATATTTCACAATTAACTTGAGCTTTCGCGTGTTAAAATAGCCATTTCAGAAATTGTCCCCAACAAAAGCCATAAAAAGTAAAACGTAGATTGTGCGACATTTTTCACAGCCGACTTCACATTTCGCTATTAAAACACTGACGATCGAGCTGAACACGAAAAATACATCGATGGATAATTAGCAAGAGTCCTCCCGCTCCTTCTCTCTGAAACTGTCGAGGGGCGCTCTTATCCATGGTATTCTATTTTTTTGCAGCAGGCTTAATCGGTTAATCCGTCCGTGAGCACGATCTGGAAAATTGGGTCGAGGCATACGATATGCAGTCGAGCGTATAGCTGCGAATACGTATGTGTATTTCGTTTTTGCCTGTCGCTCGCGCAGCTTTAGTTTTTTAAGTACTCGTGTTACGTGGAATAAACGCCGGATTTATGTACTCATCGATATCTAAATACTGCCTTGTTTTACTTGTTAAAGCCATCTTTAGTATGAGCTATTCAAAGTGTAGATATACGACAAAAGTGGCAAAGAATTGGTGGCAAAACTGTATGTTCAGCGCCGAAGATGAACCATTAGAGGAGCAGAAGAGACAAAGGAAACTTGGAATATTTGGGGGATGTACATACATTATCGTTGTTTTCCTACATGCAATTCTGTTCGTTACTTTGTTGAAACGTGGATTGGTGAACTCGAGCCATGGTGTCGTTATGCTTTGTCGAATGTCGCAGGTAACTACTCACGATTGGCGTGCGAGATCCAGTTCGTAAGGTCGATGGGCTACTACCTGATCCAGATCTACATACCCTCGGGTCTTATTGTCATAATCTCGTGGGTGAGCTTTTGGCTAAACCGAAATGCAACCCCCGCTCGGGTCGCCCTCGGAGTAACCACTGTGCTCACCATGACAACCCTCATGTCCTCCACCAACGCGGCACTGCCCAAAATCTCCTACGTCAAGTCCATCGACGTTTATCTGGGAACATGTTTCGTCATGGTCTTCGCATCGCTACTCGGTAAGTACTGTCAGCGCTTATTCTCCCTTTTAAATTTCAGCCGCAACAGCAACAAACTCAAACTAAATCTAATGCCCATAATAAAATTCGCTCCCGGGGAAATTGAGAGTAGCCCCAATGCTGCATGCCTGCGATCGTAAAAGTCAAAGCTGTTAAATAAAACTTGTAAAATGGCTACCTCAGCGCGGCCAAGTCGTTAATCCAAACGAGCGTCCAATACGCCGAGGCAAACTTGGGCGCTTATATCGCGCCGCGACGCCAAAGTTTAGCTCGCAGCTTCGAACCGGTTTACCGATTCTGTGTTCTCGCCGAGCTTTTCCACGATACGCTTCTAAGATTGTCTAGCTTTTTTGCGCGAAAGTCTGTCTACTGGAATTGCCGATCAATTCAGATGTTATTCTCAGATTCGCATAAAACACAATACGTCTGATTTCTCCACTAATAATAAATGTCAATTGTTAAACGCAAACTTACGTATGGGGAAAATAAAAACTACGCAATATACGTTTTAAAGCTCAATAATAAAAAAAAAATAAGGACTTGGTCTTATCGGCGTTCTGGTATAATCGAATGCCGCCTTGCCAATAATCGTCGAATGGAATCTCATGCAAAATTCCATCCTCTCTGCGGGAATCATCGTGTAGGTGTGTGTGTATGTGTGTGCTCGCGCGCTCTCACGCCACTCGTTATCAGTCTACGTCGATGATTGCGTCTGATTAGGAAAAGCCAAGGCAACTAAGAGTTCTTCAAGTTCGCTATACCACCACCACCACTACCACCCGTGGTGTTTTGTAATAACACGGGAACACCACCCTCGACGCGCGTACGTTTTATCGCGCTTGTAATTGTATGCCATGCAAATGATTTACTTCGTGTTTTTTTTCGTGTGTTACGGTTGAATCATCAATTACTTGTAATTTATAAATCTTCGCTGAAGAGGAGGGGCACAACGGTTTGCGAGCGAAGAACGTAAATTATTACGCCGTATAGAAATATGAACAAAAATGCTTTATTGATTAGTCAGATAATATTTATCTTAAAGCACACATCAAATTTTCGCGTATTCGTGAAAGAAACATGTACTAGATCGGTTATTACTATCTGCTTCTCGGATACCTCTAGTTGCCTCTTATGGAAAATATGACTGGAACCGTGGTGAACAAGAATTTTCGCAATTAAATATTCCGGAAGGAAACAAAGACTGCAAATGGTCGTTGTGTTACACAGTAATCAAACAAAACCGCCAAAAGTTCTGCAGCCGATATTACTCGATCCGCTGAAAAAATTTCTTAATAAATGAGACACCATTGTAGTCCCTCCACCTCCCCACCCCCCTTTTTTTGTTTCGCGTTCGCGAATTCGCCGATTGGAAAGCTATCGAAAATTACAGCCCAGAAGAATTTCCGCACAAGCTCCAATTACAGCGGGGAAGCCGCGCTCTCACTGCCGCGGCTCGTAAAACTCTCCGGAGGACATCAACGCTCTCGGTGTAGCCATATTTGCATAAATACCGGACGCTCAAGGCCCACATACAACTGCTTATTGTGAGTGCGTATGTGCAGATACGCTGAGAGGACATAAAGCTCGGTTTTTGATGATGCGTGACGATGATTTTTTCGTAGCAAAAATTTTCGATTATGTTTTTGGTGCTGTTCAAACGCGATTTATACATTGACTGGGATTAGATGTAATGCTTTTGATTTTATAGAAACGAAAACCCACAACAACGACCTCTTTAAAAATCTACTCATGATAAAGATAGAATAAACTCGCTAATTCGACCCATTAGTTGCTAAATAATGTTTCCCCGGCAAAAAGAAAAATATTATATCCTCGTGCGAAGCTATTTTTCCGACTGTATCTAAACTTTTATCAAAACACGCAAACCATTCAGGCTGCAGAAAAACAATGTCGAATTGCCTTCTTTATCCGTTATTTGTTTGGTATCCGTACTCTGACCTAGCGAAAAACTTATTCGAAACTACATCGCGATACAATTTCTTTTTAAAACGCGTTACGTACATATCTGGTATCTGAAATATTTTTACCGATACACGTGCAAACATTTTACATTTGACGTTTTACATTTCGCAATCCCGCAGCTTTCCCGAAATGTAAAACGTCAAAAGCTTCGACTCGAATCGAGAAGATATTCGGTTGGAAACTTTTTCCAGAAGCTCCAGCGCATACTTAACTTTCCTGCTTACTGTCTTTTCGAAACGAAAATTGATGAATCGGGGGCAAAAAGTTCGTTGACGTTGAAAAGTATAAGCCCGAAAAAGAAGGCTCGAAACGAAGCAATCCAAGCACGTCGAATCACCGCGTGCGTATTCGATAATAATCAATTAACTCGGATAACGCTTTAATAAACCCGTAAAGCCGCTAAAAACTTAACGCTCGGCCGAGCAATACGTGACATAACGAGCGCGCGATTGTGCAAATATTTACCAGCCCTTCCACCCGAAAATATGTGCGCGCGTCAAATTAAGTGCGCTTTGCCGCTTCCTATCAAACGTGCATCCATACGCAAAAACACGCCACACACACACACACACACACACACACACACACACACAACTACAATCGACCCGCAACTCGCCAGTCTATATCTCGGTTATTATTTTCGACTAGGACGAGCGAGGAAGAGGGAAAAAAAGTACATTTGACCGGTTTTTTCGCTTTAATTTCGTGTACGTACGCTTGCGGATTGAAACCGCAGCCAGCGGAAACGCAATTTCGCGCCACATCGCTCGTGTCTTCTTCGTTTGGTCATTCTCTCTATTTTTTTCTTTTTTGTGTTTTCGTACCGGGGTCAATCTCGTACGTGGCTCCGTGTTATAACGTCTGTATTTTTAACGATTATTACCGCATTACTAAGATTTGCGACTTATTGATAAGTGAAAAAGTTTTGATGGTAAAATGTGCCAAGAGAGGAAATACGATTTTTTTATGACTAGACACGAGAGACTATGATTATCGATAAAAAAGTTATTTTTAACGGCCATGTAAAACACCTTCATGTTATATTTATAATTTAATAATAAATATACTTAACGATTTCAATGGACTGTCGGTAAATTGTAATTAAAAGTGATAGTTAAAATGTATATAAATTTTTTATACATGACATTTTAATCACGTTCAATAAACAGATTACTTTCAATGTGATTGATAACTTACCAATAAATGTAGCTTCCAACGTTTCGATTTTTAATTGAAATTTATAATTAAAATGTCGAGTGATATTCCATTTTTATTCGAGACTTTAAAAGCTTGCTAGACTGCTTGAAAATGATTACATTTTTAACGATCTGTAAAATTAGATTGAACGCGCTTCGCTCTGAGCAATTTAAAACGTGCTACAGCTGAGAAATTCGACAAAAAGTACATTTGTTCTCGTTGGAAAGTTTCAGTAAAGTGAACAAAACAAAGTGCTAAATCTTACAATGAATATAAAAAAAATTTTTAAAGAATTTGTTGTATCAAATTCGCTCGGATTTAAAAAAAAATCTATATTTCAAAGTTTCAAATTCCTCGTTTTGTAAAGCAATCCTCGACGAATGTTCTTGCTTTGTTTACAAAATTCACTGGAAAAGCACTTTATTAAATATTGAAGCTAACGAATGATTCGAAATCGCTGGATTCTATTCAGCCAACTAGTATTTAATTGTTAAAAATTTCAACGGCATCGGCAGAGTTGTACACACAAAACGCATTCTTTGAAGCTTACCGTAGCTGATAAACGACGAAAAATAGTATTCAGAGTGGTAGAGTTATATATTGTCGGCGAAACACAGTGAAAATTATTAGAGTGGATATCGTCCCAATTAAATCAGCTTAACGAGAACAATATTTAATTTTATACACCTGAATGATCATCAATTGGATTAAAGAATGACGTTTAAATTGTATGCTCTTTCCGTACCTCGAATTATTTCTCTGTACAAAGGATTTTTCCCAAACTTTTCCAAATAAATTTTAAACGTATTTTATATAATTTAATTTATTTTACATCATAGCTTTGTTTGTCACTTAAATTTTACGAATCTCACACGATTATAACTACTAGACACGCGTCTGTCATAATTATTAATAAAACTTCGTTGACAAACTTCCCGATTAAAAAAAAAAGAGAGTATCCTATAAAGAAATATAGACGCCCATAAGGTTGTCTGACTAGCCGGTACATCGAGGGGCTTTTTTGCGCAGGTGTGATGTAAATACGGCGTGGTTATTAATAAAAGAGGTCGCTGCAGAAGGAAAAGTTGCAGCGTATAGACGCGCGCGCGCGAAAGAGGGGGTTATTTGTGGTGAGCAACCGGCCGTGAGAAATCCGTGGCAGCAGCAGTAGCAGTAGCAGCAGCCGCGACAGACTTCTTTATTATCGAGTGGAACGAGCACCAGCAGCAGCACCTGAAATAGACCCTTCATATCACAGCCTTTCTTCGCCTAGATAGCCAGCGAAAAGGGGGCCGCGATCGAACACCGACCTTGATAAGCATTTATAGAGCGACCTCGCTACAAGCGTCGAATAAATTAGATATTGTGGCGAATAACAAACATATACGTCAAATGTACGTGCTCGCGTTTTTGCGGATTCACGCTGGTGCAAGCTCGCCCACTTCCCCGTCTCGTTGGAAGATCAAAGATGGACATTTTCCTTTTTCGTGTATGCGCTATTTTTGATGATGAGATTTCTCATCACAGTTACGATATTAATATATTACAGTCATCAAAAATACAACACATTTCCGCGTATTTCAAATGGGAAATTGCACTTATTTTCTACGTTCGATTCAGAAGTTACTATATATACTAGTCAACTTATTTTAACGTTTGACATCTCGTTTGACTCGTTAGACGACTATTCATGCTATCCATTTATTAAAGTTTGGATGTTTGCTTACAAATATTTTACATAGGCAAAGTTTAAAGAAATTATTTTAAGCATTTGTTAAACATTTGTACAAGAAGATTCATAAAAAACAATAATGGACAGAATAAAAATAGTGGCATGAAGAAAATAATAATATAGAAAAACTCCGACTTTACATGAAAATTGTTTCAATGGTCTCTTCTGAATCGTGCACAGAATGGAAAAATATTGAAATACGTATAAACAATTTTGGCAAACGGTTGATTTTGTAATGGCGATGAATTTTGTTCAATCACTTTAAAAGATAACAAAATGTAAAAAAAAATTTCATCTTCTAATGTCGAAAATCTTTTATCAGAACTTACTAATATTTGATTGAAGTACGCATACAATTAATATTTTTCCAATAAATTCAATGTTTTTCATAGTCTGCAAGGAAATAAAATTTTATTTATCTTGTTTAGCGAGAAATACATCAGTATTTTACAAAATTTTGAAAAGTTTTTATGAAAATGGCAATTACAAATCACAATTACATGATATTATAAGAAACATATACTAGAAAATGTTTCTAGGTACAGTGGTTGCTAGAATTCTTTGCAAGAGCGTTTGGAATAGTAATATCGAACAACTAGCATTTGTGTCATAAATTACAAACAAGAAAAAGTGTTTTTTACGAGGCCTTATTTTCTAATGATTGGGATCCCAATGTTCCCAAGTTTTGATAATATCGTACAACAAATCGCCAGGCCTCTGGGTATGAGGTAATCCCACCTGTTTATGCTCGAGCAACTTGTAATCCCTAGCCAACTTGTTCTCCCTAACACCGATCTGCATTAACTTGCGGGCAGTGTCAAGTTGAACTTGCGTTGGTCTCTCCTCGCGGAAAGTACCTATGAACGAAATTTCAATACTGTTCTGATGATACTTGTGCGTGTAAGCGCCTTGTTTGTCCCAACCGCGACCAATGTAGACGAAGCCATCACCACCGATCAAGAAGTTGTAGCCGATATCAAGCCACCCGTGAGACTCGATGTGGAATGCCTGAATTGAGCGAATGTGCGGCAAACATTGAGACTTGGAGTAACAGCTTTTTGTCGCGGTGTGACTGATCACCACGTAGGGCGCCGGTACTGTTTCCAAATCCAGTAGCATCTTTGTTGGTGGTCTTGCACCCCATTCCGCGCGAGTTACGAACGTTATCTCCGAGTCGACGTAGGCGTTGCTTATATTCTTCGTAGTTGCTAAACATTTTTTGTCAAACGTAAAACTTAGTCAGCGAGCGAATTTTCAGATTCGAAGATTTGGATAATGAAACTAAATGCATAAAACTTTAATTATTGATTGTCATTTTTTATTTATTTAACCAACATCGCACCGATTTAATCAAAATGTTCCTCGCGAAGATAGCAAAAAAGTGTTGCAAAAAAAGATTACCGTCACAAATATCTGGATGAGGAGCATCTTCATCGTAGCAAGTGCAATGACAATTTTTCAGTATTACCGATTTTCCTGGTCGATCAGTGGTGGCTTCGACAATCGCCGAAATTCCGCAAACGGCGAAAACGAGATTCCAATACTTCATTTTTTTCGCCCCAAGACAAACGATCCAACATACAAAAAGATATTCAGAAAATAGCGTTCATATGTAGCAGGCGTTTCGATGTCTTGAGGGATTGACGTTCTCTTTTTATACAGCAATGCACACGAAGCAGCGAGCGACGAGCGACTGATGCCAGGAGGAAATTATATCGCGCGCCACTTCCTCCTGGGTCAACGTACTATGGCTCTTCCCTCCTCTCCCCCCTTTTACGTTGCAAGTACATACTAGTGCACACACACACACGTGGATGTGTAGCGACTTCACGACCGATTATCCCTTTATACTCCACATGGCCTTTTGCCGTGCCGAGGATTGAGCTATTTTCCAGTCAACAGGTCTCAACCAACTGTAATCAAAATAGTTTTCGTAATTGCCCTGTGCGTCTCTGCTTGACTCGGATGTTCGCGGCCAATCTTCGCGGATTTTAATAAGGCCATCGTGAAATCTTCACCCAGCATTTCCCCAGAAGCTCGAGGAAGTCGCGCTCGCGGCAACATCTGACAGCGAGCAGTGGCTGCAGCCGACGTCATCGAATTCCCATCGACTGCGAGATGACAAAGGTCAGGGCAAAACTATTCGAGTGAATAAGCGCTCGCGCGCCAAAGTCGAGTCATCAACGCGCGCGGAACTTTCAGCGAGCTCTCGTAAACCATGTGGGCAGAAGCCTCTTCTTCCCGGGAATTCCGCGCAGTTGGCGATCGAGGCTTATAAATTCATCGCGAGGGACGAGCAGCCGAGCTCGCGTACCCGAGCGACGCTGATTTCAATTTGGCCCCCGCACCACGAAGAAACTTGCGCGCGCGCGCGCTCGTGGCTCGATTTCACGGATCATCGGTCAGCCTTCGAGGGCGGAGCCCTTTGGCCCGACGAAATTGCCTCGGCTTACGGCGATAATTAGTCGCCTCGTGTGTAGCGGCGTCAAGATTACATTGATCGGCCTTGGGCGAAGTCGCGCGACAGAGATAGCTTACAATAGGCGTGACACGCCGAAGATGCTGGCACGTTATATAGGACGCTATTATATTTAGATGCAGCAGGTTACAAGGCCCTCGCGGAATATATTTGGCGATCAGCGAGGATGCATATCCTTGCGCTGGGTCATTGCGGTTCCCGATGAATTATTTTCGGCGACGGGATCGTTCGTCATCGTGATTCTTTAATGCTCACGTCCGTGTCTTCTTTCCTCTGCAATTCGGATGCGATTGCTGTTTTCCTGAAGCGCAATTCGATTATTTTTATGACTTTCGTTTGACGGTCGGCATTCGGCGACGTAAGTTCATTTATAACTCGATTCCAGCAGCTCGCACGCGAGAAAAAGCACGAACAGTTGCTGCATTCTTGAATGCAATTTCTCATCGCTAAACATAGACATAGCTAAACGAAAAAAATTCTTATTTTTTTTTCGTACTTTCAATAAAACGAAACATTTCAATTCACTTTCGCTTGCATCGCAAACTACGAGATTATCCCATTACTTAATCATCGGTCGACCGACTATGTCGTAGCGGAGAATGGCCAATTGTAACATTTCGAGTCGCTGAAAAACAAAATCAACCCATCACACAAGAGGTCACTTTCATTATTTTATTAAAAGGCAGACCTTCGTGGTCTAGAAAAACGTGAATCAGTGAACAATTTGCATGAAAACGCCGCGCATCGTCACACATAATGAAAGAGAGACGCGTAGTATTTATTTTCCTCGATCTAATCTTCGCCAACGGACAAAATCATCATCTCGTTGCGTCGAACACATTCACTTATATATCAGCATCAATTCACCGATTTATCTGTCTTCTCGCTATACGCCTCGTGCATCCGCGTGACAACGCGCACAAAGTGTATTTCGCGGCAGTCGAGCTGCGCACATACGGACAGAGCAACGTGCGCGTGTGTGCACAGGGCTTGTATCGCTGCCTGAATTAGTGCCTTTGCCTATGCGACCAAAGATGAGGATAAAGGAAGCGAAATATTTTCATTTTATTGAAGCACTGGCCAGTGCTCTTTTTCGCCTCTATGTGTGTGTGTGTGTGAGTGTCTGGACGAAGCTGCGACAATACAGAAGTTATTGCGATGATACTGTGCTCTGGTGTGCCTTTCAATGAATTCTGTAGTCTCTCCGAGACAATTTAACAAAAACAAATGATTTCGATGATTTTTTGCGTAAAAAGAGTAAATTACCTTCATAATTATTTCGAGCCCGAGAGCCATTTAAAAATGACAATATTTTATCGGATACAAAGCCGATAGCGAGAAAAGCACTTCCAACGAGGACAAACGTAATGTTAACGTCCCCGCTCGTGATTCCTAAAGAGAGAATCAAAGCGCAACGATTATATCGGGATTTAGCAAAAAGAAAAAGAAAAAGAAATAATAATCGTCGCGCGTTCGGGCCCGTTTGTTCAAATTATGCGACAAGCGTATAGAGTCCATGAGAAACATCCGAGAATGCCGTCATGCAAAATTGAAAGTACCAAGTCGATGAATGGCTCGAGCCAAGCTAGCGCCCGGCGGGCAATCCTCTCTGGCCTTTTTATATATTCGATATAAACAATTTGTCTTGAATAGACGAGCTTTCGATCTTGTCTTGTACTCGGCGGAAGAGAGAGAAGGAAAGGAAGACAGTTATTTATCGCGAGTGAATCCAAAGTGATGAATGGCAGAATTGAGAAAGGATTAAAATGTGATACTCTATCTATCACGTTCGTTATTAATTACTTGTAAGCTTCCTACTACTATAAGGATTCTTCTATACACCGAAGCTTGTATGTATAGTCATTATCCGTAGAATTGATCGAGTGGAAATATATATTTTATTTTCAACGGATGGACGTTATATATATATATATATATATATATATATATATATATATATATATATATATATATATATATATATATATATATCTTTGTTGAATCAATCGCAAAAAATTACTTTTTCAAACTGTGTTATCATGTTGCAAAGCCAATTTTCAAACACACGTGGAGTGCAAATTGAAGTTGAATAAAAACAACGCGAGTTCGGGTAACGTGATATCTCGAATTTTTATCGTTCAATCTCTCTTCAAAAATAAATTAATAAACGAATGGATAAATCGAATTTTGAATTTACGCATATGTTTATATTATCGAGTAGTGGCACTTTTACAAATTCAAATCATCCTCGTAGGCGAAATTCTTTTTGTAGCAGTAGCTTTATTCTCAGACTACGAAATTCCCCTTTGCCGTATACACGTCACTCAAGCTAGTCTAATACAACGAAAGGTACGACTGCAGCGCACCGTTCTATTCGTCTTCTTTCACTCTTTCAAAAGCACTCGTCGCAAATTTCGCAGCGCGTAAATAAGACAGATGCCGCATCAGTCAGTTTTGCCGTTCGAGCACACCCGACACGGGAGTCGCACCGATGATTAATAACAAATCACGACGACACATTTTCACGCTCCATTAGCCAGCTGTCGAATTAGCGATAGTTTCGTCCACCTGTCTTGCGTGGTACACTCGTCCCCATTGAATTACGGAGCGAAATAAAAATTCAGTATCCATTTCGAAAGTTACTCCTAATTGAAAACGAATGATTTAAAAAGAAAAAAGGGAAACGATACAAAGCTTATCGTACGACGGAGTAGGAAGTTGGAAAGCTCACTTCCAGTGCATTTGCATCAGATATACTTGTAAGTTTCGCTAGTACTCTATATCCGCGAACTTGGCGGCAGTCGCGCGCGACGATATGCGACGTCGTCTCTGCGAAACTAATCACCTCTTGAAATCCAAGCGGCTGCGAAGTGGCGAGTAGCGGGAGGGGGAGAGCCAAAAATGTTGGGCCCTCGACAAAAGAGAGAGTGAGAGAAGGGGGGAGGGGGCGAGCAAGGCACGCGCGCGTGCATAACTAAGATGAAGCTCGCTGACCTACATAGGGGCGAGGGAGCTGGTGGCGAAACGTAATATCGGAGGCCGGCCATTAGTCGGCGAACGGCGCACAAATGAGAGCGCTTCCTTGGAGACAAAAACTGCAAAGTTTGATCAAGACCGACGCAGCCGGGGGAATGGGAATGCCCTATATATCAAGCGGGCGCCCCCGGATCGCGAGCCAATTCGCCTTTGCTGCTTAGCTAGTTTAGTCGCAGCCAATTATTTCAGCTCCGGCACGCCTCTGCGTTAGCTTGATGAGCTTCGCTGCTGGCTGCGCTATCCTGCAGATGCCGGACTGGTTGAGTTTCCATTTTCAATGCGACTCGCTAAGCCATGTATATTCGTGTAACGGATACAGGGACGAGCAGTCCAGTTGCTATTTTATAAATCTTTCTTGCTTTCCTTTATCCATACTCGCGGATAAATCAAGTCGACCGAAAGCTAAAATAAAGGCAGAAGCCTGCGGCGACCGCGTTCGCCCTGTCCGATAAATAACAATTTAGCGCGAAACAATTTATCATCGGCGCGGAGTGACATAACCGTAACACAGCGAGATAAAACGAAAAATTCCGGGGGAAACGGCACGAGAATAGATAGAATAAGTAGTAAGGAACTCGCGATCGATGGATAATGCCCGGCAACAATTTGGCAGCCTGAGAGCAGAGTCGAACTTTACCCAAGTTCGCAGGCAGGCAAGAGGATAGCAACTTATTCGCAATCGAAGCGGAACACTCGACTCGTGTTAAACTTTCCTCGCTCTAAAGATCGAATCGTGCGGTTCCGTAAATTTCGCGACGTGCGCTACTCCGCTGTTGTTTCATTTTTTTTCTTTCTCCTCTCCCTGCTATTGGCGAACTTTGCCGACGACGAGATTAAAATTTTCCTGTCGCTCGTTCTTTTCATACACCGACGATAAGTCATGGACGATCATTATTTCGGCAAATTTAATTATCTGTCGTTCGGAAAACGTTGAATAAATACATTTTTCGTCGGGCAGCTCGAACGTTTTTAATTAAATCCGTCATGGTCGGAAATCATCCGTAATATATCTCGCACGTCGGATTTCGGCCGCGCGTTGATTTTATTTAGGATTTATATAGGAGAGCGTGGATTTTTTTTTTTTTTTTTGCGAAACACCAACAGAAACACCCATTGAAATTTTCTGTTCCGACCATGTATGCAAGTGGATTACAGAAAGTTCAACTCGTACTCTGCTGCACTCAATGCCGCTCTCGAATATACGTGCTTGATCCATTTGGAAAACTCGATTGTTCAGCGCAAATTGTGCATGATTTTTAATCGCGCTATTTATCGGCTATCTGAAAATAGGATTTTCAAAGTTTTGTATACACACGTAGCTTCATGAATTATAACTTGGAGAGTATGCGGCGCAGTGGTCGCAATTTCCGTGCACGGATGTTATAACTTACATATCGCGTATGCGATATGGCAAACTGTGTTCACAAGCATTATAAGTATGCGACAGAAAGATTTTATCTGGACTGGCGTGCTCGCGAATTAATTCTCACGGTAACATAGACGAAGCTGCTTGTGACACAGATTAAGTGAAAATACTTGTGATAAATTGATCACACATGACCGAAGGAATTCGATCGATTGATTTGTGTTTCCTTTGATGAATTTTCTTTACCCACCCCACGCTCCCTTGGGCAAAAATGAAAGGTCGCTTTTCGACCAAGTCACCAGAGAGAATCTAGTCTAACAAGGCTTGTGTTTTGTGCGCAGAATACGCGACGGTCGGCTACATGGCGAAAAGGATTCAAATGAGGAAAAGCCGCTTCCAGAAGATTGCGGAAAGCATGAAAGCGGCAAGGGAAGCTCCAGGACCGCCCGGCGTGCCTGGTGATCACGGAGACCATCATGCGCCCAAACAAACCGTGAGTAACATGCGACCCGAAAACTCGCACGATCGTGCTTTGGAAAATGAGATTTTTTTCGCATCGATTCAATTTGAGATTGAAAGGTAAATGCATTCGATTAGCTTGGAATTTGATTTATCGTATATACTCCGTTTGAGTGGTACATTTTCGATTGAAAGAGATTTTATAATGAAACGCGGGGCAACTTCGCATGGGTTATTTATTCGGCGAATTGGCGTCGAACAGAATGAACGGCGACTGCCTTTCATAAAGCTGCTCTTCCATAGAGCCGACCGAAAAATCAGCCGGAAATCAGAAATGAAACAAGAGAGTCTGCCTTTCTCGTCTGCCCCCGGATAATATCTTTCTCTCTCGGCCGTTATAGTCGACGACGTTGCGAACGCCATCGTGAGCTTTTACGAGGATCGTGGACGCGTGCACGAGGTTAGCATGCTTCCTTTCGAGAGCCAACTTCAAATTTGACGATGTAGCCGAAGTGGCGCGCATCTTCTCTCTCCGCGTGGAGATGAGCCATTTTTAATTTACGCCGAGTGCCTTTTTGTTTTTCTCCCTTTCACGCCGGTTCTCACTCGCGATCGATTAGCAAATTAAATTTCGCGCGCACGTCGAACGTCGATTTCATTTGGCAAATATAAGCGTCGGACGGAGATGAGCGAAAACCGCTCGGCCGGAATACTTTCAAACTAGCCGTGGAAATGTTTGCTCGCCGGGGCGAGGGCGCGAATAGCGGCGGCGTTCGCCTGCAAAAGTCCAATCATCTTGCAATTAATTTCGCGACGAGATCGCGAGCGCGAGGAAGCGCGTAACGAGTACAAGGGGAATATTCGACGCCCGGAAATGAAAAAGAGAAAGCTTTCCGCTCGCGACGCTGCCGGCGCAAGAAAATATATCCAAGAGGGAAGGAAACTCTTTATCCAGGCCGAAATTAAAGGACAACAGCGAGGAAGAAAAGTGGCCCGGCTCGCGCGCGCCAACGATACGCGAAGTAAAGAAGTTATAAGAAAGACGAGAGACGCTGAGGCGGCGGAGATAGCGAGAAGTCGTTGTCCTCGCTGGCCGTCGCGTGACGACCAACACAAAAGAAAAGGAGGAAGCGCCAAACGAAGCTTAAAAGCGCAGAGAACCACTCAGCGAGGCTACTGAAGCTGCCTAATTTACGATCGCAAAACATTGCTCTCGTTTTCGGACTTGAGAAATTGGTTAATTAAGTTTAAATAATTGGACGGCTGTCTAACCTACCGTGACGTACTTAGGTAGACAAAGAGTCGACGACGTGGCCAAGTGAATTTAGGCGAATTGCTGTGACGAATGGATTAAATGTGAATTCTTAAAGCTTCGTTCATTGGTCAAATTATTTTTAAACGAAAGTCGCTTTTGAGTGTCGTTACTCAAAACGGACTATTTAAAAAATTACTTCGGACGAAGCATTCACGGCTTAGCGTACTGCCAAACTTTCAATTCGTTCCGATCGGATTAGTCAAGCGCTCGCTGCATTGAAAATTGCATCAAGAAAAAGAACCCCAAGCTATAAACAAACCGGCGGAAAACATGAAAATTTTATAGCAGTATACGAAAGAGAGTTCGCGCGCCGGCCAAAGCGAAATGAATTTGCTATCGCGCAGACGGGAAATATTGCGCACGGGAACGCATATCGAGAGCGCAAAACCATAAATATTCTTTTAATCTCGCACTCGCTTTCCAAATCTCGCTCTCACAGAGCTTTTATTCGGTCGTGCGTGCGCGTGCGCGCGCCTCGATCTATCTATACGAAATAGTTCGAAATGCGAGAAAAGAAAATCCGCGCATTAAAAAAAAAAAATCAACGTGTACCTGCTCGCGCAGTGTGTTCCGTTATTTTTTTTATCTGCAATGGAAAAGCCCTCCCGCGTGGAAAGCGTACGAATCAAATGTCCAGATTAATTTCCATATTGCTGAATTGTTTTCGCGCGTCAGAGTTGGAAAACAAAAAATTTGCATAGCCAAAGTTCAGAGCCACCCGTGAATTATGGCTTCTACACACCGAAAAAAAAAAAAAAGAAAAAGGATGTGAGAAAAAAAATGCCGCATTTCTTTCGATTTGACGCAGTACAGGACTGCAGATTGTAACATGTATGCGGGTGCGGATGAATAAAACTCGCGACGAGGCCAGCTGCACGCGCAAGCGCGCTGTTCCAATTAGAGGGTCCGTGGGGTATTATACTTAATTAATTCATTCGTTAATTAAATGCTCCATATACGAGTTGGAAGCCGAAGATTTTTCGCTGAACCACTCGGGAATGTAAAGAGGGGACGAAGAGCCTGCTCTCGGTGAGCCTCGAAATAAATATTTCGTGTGCATAACGAATTTTTTCAACTCTCCTTTTTTTTCTTCACTGCGCGCCGAGAATTATTAATGAAAAGTTTTTCGCGCAGGCCGCTAATGTTTGAACGAATTTAAATTACATGCGTGCTTGCCTCGCGCTGAAAAATGCACACGGTGTGGCTTTTGTTATTCAATTTGAACCATCCGTTAGCGTGGAAAATAACAAAAGAGATTGCAATTTTGCCAAAACATGTGCACACACGAGTAGAGATCAACGTTTCACACAACGTCGAATTTCAATTGTAAGTGAAGTAGATAAAATGAAATTAATAACTCATAAGGGTCATAATGATTATATGCGTTTGCGGTTTGTTAACGTCACTCTATCATGCTATATTAAATTTAAACATTTAATAAAGCTTAGTTAATCGAAAAAGTATCAATAGGTTCGTGTTTATTTCATCGTTTTCCAAAGCAAACATTGCACGAATATTGAAAAACAACGATGGCCGATGAAAAAATCGGCAAGAAACATCGGAATGTGCCGTGTCTCTTGTAAGTGGTGCCGTTATGTCCAGGAGGTGCGCTTTAAGGTCCACGACCCCAAGGCACACAGCAAGGGCGGAACCCTCGAGAACACCATAAATGGTCGCGCCGACGAGGAAGCGCCGCCGCCACCGCAGCACCTCATACATCCTGGCAAGGACATTAGTAAACTATATGGTAAGTTCCCCGCAATTTATTAGTTTTATCTCATTTATTCACGCAACGATTTTGTAGAAAGAAAGTTGAACACGGTCTCGATGTGTGTCCAAAGTAATTATTAATTATTTTCGTATAAAGGTTCTTGGAAATTCGAAGCTGTTTTTAACTTTCAGATATTTTGTTCAACGAAGGTCACTTAAAAATCCTTTATAATACTAGTAATGAGGTTGAGAGTTGAAATAACGACAAATAAACCCAAACTCATTAATGTACTGAAAGACGTATAATTTGCAAAGCAATCTGCATATTTTGAAAATCATGCGATGATGCAACATCTACTTTACAAACGTTCGCTTCGAATCGACTCAGTATCGTATACTAGTTTACTGACTCATATACATTTCAGAATATAAGAATGGAAGATAAGACAATAATTTGAATTTTGTCAACATTTTCACATTTCTTGAAATATAAAACGATGTATTTAGAAAAGAAAGAAATACGAAATAACCTTTACTCAAAAGTAGTCCGTAAAATGAGTAAATATTTTTTCTATACACTCATAAAAAGTTAATTCTATGCCTACACGAGAATTTATATTTGATATATTATAAAAAATTTAATATATATCGTAATAGGATATCGTATGAATTATATTTTTTTAGAAAATTTTAACTGATGCCGTAGAATCAATTTTTAAAATATTAAAAAAATTACTTTTAACAAATGCATATATATGAAACAATATGTTTTAAATAATAACATTTTCGCTTTTCAGTTTTTAATTAAAACCAAACAATCTGCGATTCTCAGTTTCTCTGCTTCTATCATAGCATTTTATTTACCAATTTTAACCCGAGTTCTATACTTGTACCATTTATTATTAAGTAATACGATATACGTTTTCATCAACTGTTTCCTTATTAAGGTTGATTTTTAATTTTTCATTCTTTTCATTTGATTTTTATTGTCATTATAAAATCTACAAGAAAGTATTCTACTTATTACAAATATGTCTTAGTCAAAGTCTGACTTCTGTAATTTATACAATTATCCCATGTATAATTACTAAAAAGAATACTTTTTTATTACTGTAAATAGCATGCTATATACATGTAGTATCCTAATTTAATTTTGTTGACGCTTAATTTATTTCTTATTCAATAACTCTGTTATTCAATCATATTTTTGTTTGCTCAACCTATTGAAAAATTTTTCTGAGTTGGACAGATGCAAAAATATTTCAAGATACCAATGGTCATACCAAAATGTTTTCAATTTTTTATCTACCAACTATACGTCTACATTTTACAGTTGAGAGAAAATAATTCAAGGAAAAGGATTATTATACAGTATCATGATTGTCTAACTTAAGGAATGAAAGATGAAGTAAAAAAACTCAAAAAAAATTTTTTACATGGTTTTATTTATCTACTCATAGCTTAGCACATAATTATAAATTTGTAGTTTTATTTTTCAAAATAACAACTTTCAACACAAATTATAATGATTTAATAATTTATGCACTTACTTTGAAAAATTCTTGATAAGCTTAATTCATTATACTCATATAAACGATTTATGTTCATTACAATTATAATTGAGGTGGTTCGAATTATTATAAAAGATAATTTTTTTCCAACCGATGGTTTGTGATAACTACAATGTATTTATAATTCCTAAAGTATAGCTTCAAAGAATTTAATGTATTTATTCCTTAATATATACTTTCTATTTATTACACGCTCACAATAATTACACAAACCGTTATATTATTTATTATTTTATCTTCTCCGTTACTTGGAGTTTATTTTCTTACAGTTTTATATTTATATAACGTGTCTCAATTAATTTCAAAATGTATAAATAGAATCTCATATATAAATATATATATATATATATATATATATAGCGAACCACCCTAAAAATAATTTTATCTATATATATGTATCAAACATATGATGTTCAACTCATGAAAACAACTTAATTATTCAGTCGTGAATCAGTCATGATGAATGTAACCTTTGAACAACCTCCACCAAATATTATTATCACATAAAATCATTTTTTGGCGCCTTTGTCACAAAATAATGCATGAATATATTTTCTAAACCAAATATCTTGTGTACATCAATTAATCAATGTTACCAATTTTAACATATATATTTCATGCGATATTAAATTTTTCCCGTATAAAATTCTAATAGATGTATCAATAATAAGGTATACTTTGAATTAAAGAGAGGTTACATTTGTACAATAAGCCTGTTTCTGAAATTTTTTCTCTTAGCTCAAGAGGATGCCCATTCTGCACTTCAGTCTTTTCCAAAGCCAACAAAACATACTATAATGGGTAAAATATTTATTTGTAGCTAAAACTATCAATCATACATCTCAGTTTAGCTCAAATAATGCTCATTTACTGCCTCATTTGTGTCATAGAATAGTCAAGCCTCGGTACCAATGCTTCATTGCCACACGTATTTTATTTAAATAATTGCATTCTAGAACTTCGCGAAGAAATGTGAACCGAAACACATCGATATATTTAAAAATGCCCGAAGTTCTAGAAAAAAAAGTTTTTTTGGAATGCCTCCTAGCATTTTTTGCACTTGACCATCAGAATAAAAATTAAGAAATAAAACAATGCTACATAATGACCGTCCATATTGCAGGTATGACGCCGTCGGACATTGACAAGTACTCTCGCATCGTCTTTCCGGTCTGCTTCGTCTGTTTTAACCTGATGTATTGGATCATATACCTTCACATCAGCGACGTCGTAGCCGACGACCTCGTGTTGCTCGAGGAGGCCAAGTAAAGGAGTCTCGAACGAGAGCGTCTCCTACGACGACGAAAAAAAAAGAAAAAAAAATATGCCAGGCATACTCACACAATACTCTGAGAAAGAAGACTATTTTTTCCTTCGCAAGACGAAAGCAGCCAAAGAAGAATGGACGAAAAAGCCGAAGAAGAGCGGCAACAAAACGTGGAGTAGGGACGCCACGAGCGGGGAGAAGAAAACGAAACCAAAATGCCCGCAAGCGTGAATTTTTTTATTGTTCCGGGGCACACGACAAGGCCGAGCCGTTGAGCCTTTTTCCGCTCCCCCGCGCCCTCTCGTTTGAAAATATAATAATAATAAAAAATAAAACGATATACAAAGCGAGATAAACAAAAATAACAATACGCCCGAACGTGCGCATCAAAGACTGAGCCGGTGCATCGAGGCGGATCGAGCAACAAAGTATTAATACAAAAAATGTCCGCCTATTAGGAGAGCAAAAATAAACGAGATAATTGATGGATGGACCGACAAACACACGAGGTCTTTGCCCGAGGATAAGAGAGAATCGGAAATGCATGCCGCGTGACATTATACAGAAATATCTCTAGTTCGTAAGCGAGATATAGGAAAAAATAAGGACATGAAACGATGATTACGCTCTTTGGCACGAAGATCGAAGAGCGGCTACAATTACAATTTTCGATCTTAAGATAAACACAGATTACCGTAAAATGCAAACACAGAATTTTAAGAGTAAGCAAATTAAACGATAAAAGTAATTAAAAAAAAAAATAAAATTATAAAGTGTTGTTAAAACAATTATGTAAGGGAAAAAGTAAGCTCTGGTGTGTAAGAGAGAAATTAGGATGTATTAATTACGTGAGCGTTAATAGAGAGGACGTTATAAGTTCGAACGAACAAAACTAAAATAAAAAAAAAAAATACGGAAAAAAATGACGACGATCCTAAGTGCTTCAGAATGTTTTTACACCGAACTTTTTAAACAAACGTGAAATGATAAAAAAAAAAAGATAGTAAGCTCGGAGAGAGTTGAAAGTGAGACGCGACAGACGGTGATGGAAAATGTGGGCCCGCATTTGAAAACCATCGGTTACGCATTTGCCATTCGCGATTTTTCTCTGCCGCACGTAGAATAGAGTGAGAAATCAAAGGATATTGATAACGACGACGCTTTTGTTTTGGAGACGTCGTAAAATAAGTTTTTTGTTTTTTTTTCCTATAGAGCAACATAGAATTCTTTACACTTAGATAAAAAGAAGAGGCTGCGGCGAGAGCGGATTGTTATTTTCGACACTGCATGCGCGATGTCTCGATTGACGCGGTCTCGGTGAAGTGAGCGTGCCTCGCGACGTGTCGAAAAATCAAGTTGGGTCCGCACGAGGCTCCGAATCGCTCTCTCGCACTGGTATCAAAGTGATAGCGTTAACGCCTTGGCCTTATACTGTCCCGCGTTAAGCACATCTCGTCCAAGCCGTACTCGCGCTTGGCTCGGCCAAGGCATACAAATAACTATTTATAAGCTGTTACGGGATCTCACTGAACAAGGCTGAGGCTGGAATACCACTCGCGCAATTGTTAATCCGAAATTGATAACGACGTTGATTCGTGCACCCCATTCAAATCATCGTTTGTGTTCGTCAGGCTCGTCATTCGCGAGGTTTCATTTTTATTGATACGTCGGATTGAATTACAAACGTAGACATTTGTAAGATTTTACAAAAAAAAGTGTTGAACAGATGAAAGAAATTCTCAAGTAACAAACGCACGCTAGCAAAATGGGCGCGCGTCTGTACAAACTCGGACTCTTTCTACTTCTTTATATACATACGCGAAACGAACAGAATCACTCATATACAATAAAGTCATTGAAACTAAAATAAAAAAAAAAAGAAAATCTGGTGCAAACGACGCGAACGCCTTGAACAAATATGCCATATAATAAACGACAGCCAGAAAGAGAGAGAAAGGAGGAACAGGGTAGGGTCAAGAGTAAAGGAAAGTCGATGAGCCGTCATAAATTTCTGGCCTGGAAGTGACGCTCGGCGACTCGGAAAATGCAAATTGAAGTCCGACAGCCCCAGGATTTTCCACCGTTCCGCTGAAGCTACACTGCCTTCCGCTCTCCCTGCTTGTGTGGCTTAGGCGTGTGGCGAGCGCGTTGCAATTAGCATTAAATATACAAATGCTCATTTTCCAAATTCACTCGCAACTAGTTTTCTTTTATTTCTAACGATGACTCTGACTACTGCTAAACGAATATACGGATACACGACTACGAAGATCAAACGGAATAGATGAAAGACGAACGACCAAAACAAAACGACACGGAGCCTTTATCATTCACAAGGACGCACAAAGATGAAAAATTTTACTTAGACGAGACGATAAAAGAAAATCTCAGACCGAGACTGAGCGGACATAAGCTTTCTGGAAGGAAAACAGCAAAGCTGGTTGTATATAGGATATCGACCAAGCACACGCCCCAAAGTCCACCACCACCGCCACCTTCCTCAAAACACTTATCCCTCTCACTCCCTTATTTTTTCCCAGCTGTACAGTAGCGTGCGGAGAGCTAGGCGAAAGACAGGCAGTGTCGGGGCCAAAACTGCCAAGGCACAGACGAGAAAATCGCAGTGGGGAAAACACTCGCTTGCTCCTTAGAGCCTAGATCGCTTAAACGCGCCTCTAAAAGTCAAGCCGTTGATCCTCGTTTTTCACTCCGCCTATATATATATATACATCTTTTCCTTCCCGTCTTCTCTCTTTTCTATCCTTTCCCCTTCCCCCAAGACGACGATCTCTCATTCATGCGCGACAGCGAAAAGCATTCGGTTTTTGGTATTTAGTTCCTATATCTGACAGACGGATAAAACGGACGCTCGCAAATGAGCCTTGGATTAATCGACATTCATGTGATGCGCGAGGAACAATAAATCGTCAAAGGCCCTTCCGCCGTCTGTCCATCCGTCACCCATACTTTTGCACACATAGCGAGCGGAAAGGAAAGAAAAAAGGTGTGGGGGGGGGGGGAGGAGGATTAGATCGACGGGTATAACGCGAGGCTCAATTTCGCGTCAGACACGCGAGCAGCCGCCAACGAACGAGAACGCGCCGCCGCCAGCTGATCGAATGCATAATAACGCGATCGTGAGAATGACGATAATGGCTCTGGTAGTTTTAATGTGAAAAAAAGAAAAGAGGGATGTTTCTCGCGATCGCTTATCTGCCGATGAAAATTGGAAGAATTTCGTTTAAAAATATAACTGCGGATTTTGCGTGAAGAGAAAAAAAGAAACGAAAATTTTTTGATTTCAAAGAAAACGCTTCGATTGCTACCCTAAAAATGCACTTTTTAAAATCTAGCTTCGAGCACAAAACGAATCGATCATCGCGATGAGTGCAGTCGGTTTAGTTGGCGAGCTCGCTTTGGCGAAAAAGTAAAATTGAGTACGGCGAGTCTAAAAGAACAGCCGCGCGATCAAACAAGCAATGAATGCGACCAGATGACAAGGTAACTTTCAAGTTTCTCTTCAATCTTATCAGTACGATCATGTAGAAGTTTATTTTCAATTTTGAAAAACTAAATACTTGAGCCAATTATAATTGCACGGAATATAATGAAAAACGATTCGAAATAAAAGTCACACTTCTTCAGAAAGACAAATTTCAAAGCGGTCACGTAATTTTGCTACTCTTTTTCTACATAAACTATTGAAGCACTAAAGTCGCAAAAATAAAACGCAGCCTTTTCCACCTGATGCATACGGTCTTTAAAAAAAAGAAAAAAAAAAGAAAAAAAAATAAAAACATCACACTGGCCGGGACGATATAATAGTCGGAAAAATTATAAACGAAAATTTTCGATTATGATCGAGTAGTATTTCATTGTTGTGATACGCCGTATAAGTAAATAACCAACTTATACCTAAGTAAACGTTGTGCATTTACTATATGATTGTATTTATTTGTAGTATTATTGTGTAATACATACGCTTGCTCGGAAAAATGTATTTAATACGTCAACAAAAGAAACTTCGAATTGCTATAAATCCATATAATTATTTTCATTATTATTGTAAATGACGAATCAATACAGTTTTCTACGTGTAACGTGTTTATATTAATTCTAACTTTACGTTCGTACGTGCATGAAAAAAAAGTCATACCGAGCGATCGCCGCGTTTCCATAAATGACACGTCTATTTCTTATTTTGATACTTCGATAGATCATATAATCGATATATATCACGATTGCATGAGAAAAAATATGTCCAGGGAATATGAGTTTTATCTATATTATATATTATACTTATATACGACGGTCGTATCGGTGCTGCGGATTTAAAAAAAATATTGCGACGAGGAAAGAGTTGATGTAATAATTATATAGGCGCTCAAAGAACAATGATCTTCAGACGAGACATTACAGACACGTCCTCTGGTAGGATTTACGTTTTTATTTTTATGGACAAGCTCTTCAAAGCTAAATAAGATTTAAAAGGATTAAAAGAACGTTAATATTATTGTACATGTATATACGTTTGCGAGAAAGTTGAGCAAAAATTTTGTTATTTAAACCTTAGTGAGTTTATTGCCACTGTATCATTATCCAAAGATATCATTGCCATTATTAATATTATTATTGTGTCGATTACATGAATGTATGAATTATTAATATAAATGCGTCTGTGTGAGTAAACAGAAAAAAATACCCACATAAAATATAATTATATAGCGTTCATAAAAATACAAAAGCAAAAGGATCGCATTATTGTATCTTGGCCAAGTCGCTAGCGCATTCTTAACATATAGCACAGATAAAAAAAATTAAACGGTTAAGCCATAGATCAGAACATTTTCAATAAAAAGAAAATTAAGAGCAAAGTCACATATTATATACAGTCAGGGAAAGAATGATAAACTGTGGAAGCGACGGTTAGAAAAAAAAATGATCATCTTGTAAATACGAGTTTTATACAGAACATATATATTGTACTCATTAAAAAAAGAAGTATCGTGAATTAATAAAAAAGAAAATGAATAAAGTAAATATATTCATAAATAAATTAAATATAGGTACGAGTAATAAGTGATATGTAAACTACATTCAGCGTTAAGGGTAGCATATATACATGAATATGAATATATATATATATTATATATATATATACATATAGAGAAGTATGCTATGGTTGCTTCAAGTATTGCGATAAATAAAACAAGTATTAATATTCGTTTGTATACCGTATATAATTCTAGTAAACTTTCTTAAACCACAGAAAAATATATAGCAATATTTAACAGGTTCATTGCTCATTATATAATCAGACTTGTATATATAGTTGTTGAATGAGCTGTACTTTCGTCGAATATGTGTGAAATTTTTTATTTAAAATGCCGTCAAATTATAGTAAACTAACTGTTTGAAATATTATTTATATACATAATATATGAATCGTTGCCCGATTGGATAAATACTATTAATTGTTGACATGATTGAAAAAAGAATTCTTGAAAGTCATTGGAAATAATAACGCGTAACATTTTACGTTTGTTGAATTTCAAAAATATATTATAGGTTGATAATTTAAGATTAATAATTATTAAGTTAGAGTAGTTCTCGCAATTAAAAAAAAATAAATTAAAAAGGCAACCATAGTAAACTTTTCTTCATTATACACGGCATATATCGATGATGTAGTGCACACACACATACACACACACACATACATACGCACACGCAAACACACAGAGGTGATTGTTCCGCACATACACACAAATACATTTAGAAATTAAAATAAAGGGAAAAAAAAAGAAAATGATCACTTAAAACTTTAGACTAATTAAGAACTTAAAACCACGCGAAATATAAATAAAAACAACCCTCCTTAGCGCAGGAGACTCATTATACATATTATATATAATAGCAGATGATAAGACGACAACTAGAGTGAAGCGTGAAAAATAATGTGAATTTATGTGGAAACTGTCGAAAAATTGTGCAAGCTGTACAAGGCACAGTTCTGTCTATAGATTTAACAAAAACCAAATTAATTATGAATGACTAAATTTCTCGAGTAGAAGCATATCAACACCGAACGCATAAATACACTTTGGTTGATAAACAAAAAAAACAAACACTATGGATTCTAATGTGACTTGATTACCACAATCATACGTAAGCTTGAGTACATAAAATAAATGCCGGAATGATCGAAGCGAGTACTTTTTCGTAATATAATCGTACATAATTGGTAGATGCGTAAAGAAATCCACTTCCTGTTCCGTGTGATATCGGCTTCAACTCGAGCGATGTAACAAAGAAAAATGATAACAAAACAAAACAGAACAATGACACATCGCTAGATTCGAGAATGCTGTGTGTAAATCCGAAAAGATAGAAAAAGAAGAAACTGCCAATCTCATCAATTATTTATTAACATTATGCACACGTTTTTCTGCTCCATATTAGCAGGGGGAGCTCGAAGTAGCGAGCGACGAGAACTGATCGACTGATCGACGGCTTTCTTTTTCTTTTTGCATTGACAATTGATATTTATTATTATAGAAAATAAAAGTTGGAAGGAAACGTCGATTTTTCCGTTTTCATAAAATATACAAAATGAGTTTGATTTTTTATTTAAATTACCTTCTCTCTTTACACACTTTATTAACATTATTATAACACAACTTTATCAAAAAAGCAACTTTTAATTCTTTCCTAATAATTTGCATGCCTCATCGTCAATTATGTAACTGTTTATACTTTTCTATACTGTACTATTGAATTGTCATTATTTACTTCACATATGTACTGTTTGTTTACTTAGAAATCACATTTTTTGGTTGGAACGATCATCAAACATCTCGTAGCGAAGAGAATCACCGTAGTTGCTGAAAAACGACTGATCGGCTTCTAATCTTTCGATTCGTCGAGTTTCCCCGATTGTTAAAAAATGTTACTGCAATCTATCTGATAAGAATTTTCCTGACTGCAAAACACTATTTAATTAATATGTTCTCGCGCGGCGCAATGCTCCTCAGGAAAATTGCCCCTAAAAGTATAATATTAACTATATATGCTACCAGCAAAATCGAAATAACTAAATCACATACTGAAAAAATATTTATATCTATTATTCCAACACCAGCCATGCGATACAATATAATGATAATGATATGCACGACTTATCTACGCAAAAAGATAGCAAAACAATTTCAATGCAATTAAAAAATACAAATGACAAAGTGGTTAATATAACCAGTTAATTTATCATCTTATAAAATGCGTATGAAAATTATGTGGGAAAAGTTCATTGTTACAATGTTATTATAAATGGGATTCCGTGCAAAACAAACACTCATATAAATCCGTGCGAGAAACTCCGGACTTCGTCAACATTCCATACCTATAAGTATTAACTAAAAAAATTATAATTACGACGACAAAAACCCGAGTTATTGATAGGTATATATACAAAAATTGTACGTCGTAACTTTATCCGAAAAACGAAATAAATTATTAGGTGAAAGAGATATAATCGATGTTTCAAATTGAAAGCGAAATAAAGAATTAAAATGTGTTATTATATTACTAATCAGCAATCAATAGTGATACGTGTATAATGCGTACGGCAGAAAATTAAAGTAAATAAATTATTGCGATAATCTGTTAATTATCGGTAAGATCGTACACACATAATTAACGAATCTACTACTGAAGTTATATAATAAGTATAAATAAGTGAGAGAAAAGAAAGGAACGCGTACTTAGATTATAAACAAACAAAAACGAAAAATAGTCGCAACATCGCATAAACAAATCGCGAGAAGTCCGTTTGCAAAGAAGAACAGGCAACTCGCATTATAAAATAAGTTGTAAGTATTGTAAGTATTAAATTAACTTGAATAAAAATCCATCAGATACAGGTGTTTGGGGTATAAATACTATACATAGATTATCTCGCAATTGGAAATAAAATAAACGATGACGATAGAGAAATATAAATATCAATATATCTAATCGAAGCCACAGTTTCCGTTTCTCAAAACAAAAAGGATCTCACTCGCATGAATACCCGTGTAAAATACGAACCAAAAGTTTAAGTGTAGGAAAAAACGCCAATTCCTTAAGAGCAACAGCGCGTGCGTGCATACGAGTGTGTGCGTGGATAAATGAAGTGTTTTACGTGCGAAAGTTACAAATGTTCGAAGGGAGTGAGAAGAAAACGATAAATAAATAAAATATAATGCACGCGTTTTGCGCGGCGTTTCGGAAAGCGAGAGTATGCCTATTGCTAAGGCGCCGAAAGGAAATCATTTTTCGTTCCTTCCTTCTTAAAGTTATTGCTTCGTTATAATTTTTTACGTAACAACACAAATTTACTTCCTTGTATATTATGTGTATCGAACGAATAACGCACTTTTCCGCAGGGCTTCCAAAGACAAAAAACACAAATTTCTTCGTCACTTTGACGCGTTGCGAGTGCACATTATGTACATGTATACTTATATGTGTGTATGTGTGCGTCCATCACCTCGTTTTTTACTTTATCTTATGATTTTCTCGGCAGCGCCATTAAACTAATGTAAGATGTCTTGGCGCCTGATTTCCTTTCTTCATCTTGCAATCATGCCAGACTTTCCGATGATCACGCTGGATTTGTTTGTTGTGATAACGCCGCGCCGAGCGTCGACGTGCATTATCGGGATTGTGAAAATGTCCTTGTGTCGTGCTAAAGACAAAATATATGCGTAAAAATAAAAATCGACTGCATCTATTTCGGATCGAAATTTCATACATACAATTGGAAAGTAAACGACAATTTTTTATCATTCTACCGATTGGGTTTTAGCATGTATATACGAATTAAAAAGAAACGTTTGTTGATGCCACAATCTTGTTTACATTTTTTACTGATCCAAAATAGATTTTTATTGAAACGCAAATTGTAATCGCATCGAATCAAAGTAGTATAAAAAATTGTTAGTAGAATATACTTATCATATTTATAATTAATATTAATAATAAATACCTGAATTTAATCAAATTCTTCTTGATTACAAATCATCATCCTCATTAAAAATTATCATTAAGTTATAGAAAATGAAACTATTGACATATATATTGATAAATTACAAAAAGAACAAACAATGCACAAATTATTGAATTGGTTTCGTCTATAATTTACTTTTTAATACGCAAAATTAGTTAATCAGTCAATTGAAGTAAAATGTAAAAAAATATAAATACAAGCATTATCGTTTTTAAAGAATAATGCTGATTTATAGAGATCACTTTTTTCCTTTTTTCGGTAACTACAATGATGGATAAATATATCTGTACAATGTACAATGTTGTATAACTAGCGACGTTTCTATTTTCTACAATAGAAATAAATAAAACGATTGAGATTTGTTAGATTAACTAACAAATCTGTCAATCTTCTATTGAAATCTGTGGATATTTTGCACCTTTAGAGATAAACACTTTAAATACCCTACTCAAAATAACAGCTATTGGAAGATATGCTATAATAATTTTGAGTATTTTACGGTAAACTAACAAATAACATGCATCGAATACCCGACTACCAGAGGAGTCCCTGATCACTGTTTTGAAAAACTGAATAAAAAAATTTACAAACATATGAAAAACTGTATTTTTTTAAATACCTCTATAAATTGCTCAGATAAAGAAAACGAACCTTTTCTGAATGGGCTGAATGTTCCATTTGACAATTAACTTGTAAAGAATTCAGCGTAAAGCAACGCAACTGTAAAGGTAAGTTACTGTTACAATGACAATTAAATTTTATATTATAACAACTCTGAAAGAAATCGATGCAAGAAAATGATTAAATTTAAAAAAATAGAATATATAGTGTAAACATATATGTACAATCTATATCTACATTCTATACTATAAACTATTTGTGGAAAATTCTAAGATTGTACTATCGCATTCGCCGCATCTGCCAAAAATAAGGAAGTGCACTCGCAGTCGATAATGCAGAACGGATTATCCCCACTAAATTTTTTCGAATATTCAAAATTAGCTTTCAAACTTAATAGAGTAAAGCACAAATAAGATAACTCCTAAACAAACAATATCGAAATATTTTGTCCGCGCTGTAATTATCGCGCGCTATTTTGCTTCTATTTTGGATACTTATGCAGCGGCTTAACATTCGCGTATAAAAATACATCTATGCATATGTAAAAATTTCGAAGATGCTCGGCAATATTTAATGGAAATGAATTGATAGAAGCTTATTTTCAAAGTTTAGCGCAACTGGAATAAGTTGAACTTCATTAGTTTGTCTATAAATGTCACTGAAAAGCGCAAGCATGGATATACGTTCCGTTTTCGTTGGGAGAGCTACTCAGCAGGTGACTTGCGCTGCGTTCTCGAAAAAGGTTGAGCGCTCGAATGTTCTCTCACGATGGTATGATAAAGAATATTCGTTTAGACCGCATTTTATCAAATGATTGATGAAATAATTACTTCGCTGAATAAAATAGCGCAACAACATTTTCATATTTATGTTTGCCAATTGTATATTCAACACTCATATTCTCTAGCTTGGAAAAAAATCAATACAACAGCCACGCGAGCTACAGAAGTTACGAGAATATTGGCGACAGAAAAGCTCATTCTATCATAATCGAGTAGTCTTTTTCAAATTCTACTAAATTGATAATATTCTAAAAACGTCGCACCATCAATTAAACGTATTTTATTTTAATAATTATTAGGAATTAAATTTAAAAAAAATTATTAATGTTTTCGAACTAAAAACCACGTGTCAATATTTATTATTATTGAATGCATGAAAAATCTAAATACAACTCATTCAAATCTCAATAATAAGTGTATTCTTTACAAGAAATTATGGTAAAATTTGTTTTCCATTGATTATTTCATTGATACGGTTAACACCGAAACAATTATTTTAAAACAATTCTAATAATTTCTAGAAAATTACAGCATAATACATTTTTTTATATTGTTAGTTGAATAATTTGAAGGACTGTAATTTTACCTTATATTAGATTGATATATTTTTAATTAATTAAATTTAATATTTCAAGATTAAGTAATCATAAGTTGATTTTTTTCCAGCAGTAAAAACACGTGTTTTCTTACTAAATCAATTATTTTTAGTTGAAAAAAGTTAAAAAACAAAATTGTGCACAAAATACGTTAATAATAAAACATATTGAAAATTTCTATTTACATAAGGATCAAAGCCATTATGAAAAACATGTATTTCGATCAAACAAAAGCAGTCCCGAAACTTCGCGAAGCAGCACATAATCGGCTGTTGGCGTGCATCTCCCCGCTTTTCTGTCGAATAGATCGAGACGTTTCTAGATGTTTACGCTACGACACTTCCGCTCAGCACTAAACTAGTCAAGTCACCATCTGTATTGTCAACCTCTAAAAACAGTATCTACTATTATTCAACTTATTTGCTGATTTCTTCGACACACAGCATCTCAAAAAATTACGAAATTAATTTCCATGGAGTCGAAATTGTAAAATTAATTGTTAATTCTGAATCGACGTGGTGAAAAGATGCTCGGTTGAGAGAAGGTTCGAGAACAGACTGTGAGTATCCGGCAGAACATTCGAGAAACTTGGTCAAGTCGATAAAAGCGCCGCGAGCGCGCGTGGATTCAATATTCTGAAAATAGACGTTGAGCGATACGCATCAAGCGATTACTTCAACTAGCGATCTTTTACTCCACTCTGTGGATTACTTTGAGCATTTTACTTTTGAACTAAGACTCTTGCATACGCAAATAAGTGTTAGCGATCATTGAGTGAATAGTTTCTTTTTGAGTTCTTAATTTGTGAAAAGAATTCTGAAGGAAAAAATCAAGATGCCGGAAGACGTTGTAATGGACACACAAGAAAGCGGCGTGGAGACCTTTGCCTTCCAGGCTGAGATTGCTCAGCTTATGAGCCTTATTATAAACACCTTCTATTCCAACAAAGAAATCTTCATTCGAGAACTCATCTCCAACTCATCTGATGTAAGTATTTCTCATATTTCATGCCTACTTTTGGTACGACTAAAAATGATCGCTTAGAATTTCTTTTCTTATTCCTTATTTTTTAAACTATTGTTATTTATATTGCATGAAATTTATAATGTTAATGTTCCGAATTGGTATCTATAAAAATTAGATTAAATGATAGCGATATGTAACCATTCAACACAATTTCATAATTTAAGTATTAAAAGTTAATTTTGTTCGTTATCTTCAACTGATTGATTCTAAAGCTTTTTTTTTTTTTTTAATTAATTTAAAATTATTTTAACAAATCGATTACTTAATTATTAAATTTTTCCAGGCCTTGGACAAAATCCGCTATGAATCTCTCACTGATCCATCCAAACTCGACTCTTGCAAGGATCTGTCCATCAAGATCATTCCTAATAAAAATGATCGTACTCTCACCTTTATTGACTCGTATGTATCTTTTTGATTTTAAATAAATATACAAAATCATAGTTATAACCTTTTTTTAATCAATTGTTTAAGATTCAGTTTAATTTACTCTTTAATTTTCAAAAGTAAATATAATTTTTGATAGATTTTATTGATTATTATTGGATAAAATATTGGTCTCATTTATATATTTTAATTATATATAAAAGATATTTGTAAAAATAAGATGTTAAAATAAATTTCCTTTTTCAGCGGTATTGGTATGACAAAAGCTGATCTAGTCAACAACTTGGGTACCATTGCTAAATCTGGTACCAAGGCTTTTATGGAAGCTCTACAAGCTGGAGCTGATATTTCGATGATTGGGCAATTTGGAGTTGGTTTCTATTCAGCTTATCTTGTTGCTGATAAAGTCACTGTCATCTCAAAACATAATGATGATGAACAATACATCTGGGAGTCATCGGCTGGAGGATCTTTCACAATTCGTCCAGACAAGGGTGAACCCTTGGGCCGTGGTACAAAGATTATCCTGCATATCAAGGAAGATCAGGCTGAATATATGGAGGAATCAAAGATCAAGGAGATTGTAAAGAAACATTCCCAGTTCATTGGCTATCCCATTAAACTGCTCCTTGAAAAGGAAAGGGATAAGGAACTCAGCGAAGATGAAGATGAAGATGAGAAAAAGGATGAAGACAAGGAAGAGGACAAGGAGAAGCCGAAAATTGAAGATGTTGGCGAGGATGAAGATGAGGAGAAGCCTAAAGAAGAAAAAAAGAAGAAGAAGACTGTTAAAGAAAAGTACACAGATGAGGAAGAGCTCAACAAGACTAAGCCTATCTGGACCAGAAATCCTGATGATATCACACAGGAAGAGTATGGTGAATTCTACAAGAGTTTGACAAATGACTGGGAAGATCACCTTGCTGTCAAACACTTCTCAGTTGAAGGTCAACTTGAGTTTCGTGCTCTTCTTTTTGTCCCTCGCCGTGCACCTTTTGATCTCTTTGAAAGCAAGAAGCGAAAGAACAACATCAAGCTCTATGTACGGAGAGTCTTCATTATGGACAACTGTGAAGATCTTATCCCCGAATACTTGAATTTCATCCGAGGTGTAGTAGACAGTGAAGATCTTCCACTTAACATCTCTCGTGAGATGCTCCAACAAAACAAGATTCTCAAAGTCATTAGGAAGAATCTTGTCAAGAAATGCTTGGAACTCTTCGAAGAGCTTGCAGAAGACAAGGAGAACTATAAGAAGTGTTACGAACAGTTCAGTAAGAACCTCAAGCTGGGTATCCACGAGGATAGCACCAACAGGAAGAAGCTCTCTGAACTCTTACGCTACCACACGTCTGCATCTGGTGATGAGCAGTGCTCTCTGAAGGATTATGTTGGACGTATGAAGGAGAACCAGAAGCATATTTACTACATCACTGGTGAGAGCAAAGAGCAAGTAGCTAACAGCGCCTTTGTGGAGAGGGTGAGGAAGCGTGGCTTCGAGGTTGTCTACATGACAGAGCCTATCGATGAGTACGTAGTTCAACAACTCAAGGAGTTTGATGGAAAACAGCTAGTCTCTGTCACAAAGGAGGGTCTTGAGTTACCAGTAGATGAAGATGAGAAGAAAAAGATGGAGGAGGACAAGGCTAAATTCGAGAACCTCTGCAAAGTCATGAAGGATATCCTTGACAAGAGGGTAGAGAAGGTAGTTGTATCCAATAGGTTGGTTGATTCTCCATGCTGCATCGTTACCTCGCAATATGGCTGGACTGCCAACATGGAAAGGATCATGAAAGCTCAAGCTCTTCGGGACACTTCCACCATGGGCTACATGGCAGCAAAGAAACATCTGGAAATCAACCCAGATCATTCCATTATGGAAAATCTTCGAGTAAAGGCTGAAGCTGACAAGCATGACAAATCTGTCAAGGACTTGGTCATGCTTCTGTTCGAGACTGCTTTGCTCTCATCTGGATTCTCTTTGGAAGATCCAGGTGTACATGCATCCAGAATCCACAGGATGATCAAACTGGGTCTTGGGCTCGACGACGAGGAGATGACTGTTGAAGAAGAAAAAACCGAAAATGAAGTCCCTCTAATCGATGGTGATGCAGAAGAAGCATCAAGGATGGAGGAAGTTGACTAAATATCAACGACTTTGTGATGACGATCAAGGTCCAAAGACTTTTACACTAGATATAGAGAAAGACTGTTAATAAATTTACCAGAGTATTAAATCTTAACAAGACGCAATTGGATGTTGAATGCTAATCGTGGAAAGATGATTGTGTGCGAATTTTACGAAACTTGTTATTTATTTTAAATAAATACTGTGTGTTTGTATGAAGGTTTCGCAAATTTCATCATTCAATTGTGTCCATCATACTCTTATATTTTATAAAATCGACATCATTTCTTCTTTATTCTAACTACTTAAAAAACGAAATTTTTTTTTCTTACATTTTTTACTCGAATTTTTCATTTAACAGATCAAACTTTCATTTGATATTTTTTATCATTCCGTCGTACTCTCATTTTAAGTAACATCTCGATATTTATGTAAGTATGATTAATGTAAGTCAAAAAATTGCGTGACCGAATAAATTAAGCCAATTTAAATTTATCTTATTATTTCACATCTTTACCTTCATAAAAAAAATGGAAATTGTTCTTGTCAATACACGAAATTACAATGTTTGTCATTAACAATTTCTAATTATAATTTCTTAGGGATTGGAATATTTTGAATTGAATATTTGCACTTTCTTTTACGTACAAAAGTAATTTTTCACATGTGATCTTTTTTTTTAATTTGGTTTGAGTGCATTAAAAATCATTCAAATATTTTGTTTAATAGTTTGCGTAAATTGTATAGGAATCGGAAGTTTTCCAAATATAAATTATTTCAATAATAAAATCATTTTATTTGTCTATTAAATGCTTCAATTGAGATTTCGTTCGATACTATTTAAAACATGGTTTAATTCGTATTCATAAATATCACAATTAAAAAAAGTCGATAAAGTAGAAAGTCGTTTTCTCCGAAGATAACCCCAGGAACTTCGTATCGCGACTTCACAAACTTTCGACAGATGGCACTTACATCTTAATAAGTGTTCTTTATCGAATAAATCACATTGTTCATTCGAATAAAATTTTAAATTAGAAAAATAGTTATTGTTTTCGGTAAAGGAATATTTAATGCAAAACACTTTACATTAAATGACTAGCCTTTAATCGCGTGCGATTCCAAAATTTTTAGAAGCTCAGAACTGATATTAGCTTGTGATAGAATAGAATGCAGCCTACAAATAACAAACATCGATCAAAATCCTTGAAAGTGTTCTGTTACTATCATTCCAGCTCCCGCATCCTTTTTCATTGTCACGATAAATGCAATGAGTTGACATATAGAAAAGTTATCTGCAGCCTCGATTTACCGTAGTCACAGAGTAGAAAGCTTCAGAGTCGTCTCAAAAAGGTGTTCGAAACTCGGCAAAGGCGACTTTCGTCAATCATTAGGACTAATTTCCGACACAAGTAGTCTTTTGTCATCGGTAAAGCCACGTCATTGAAAAAACCCTGATTAAACGTTTCGAAAAAAAAAAAAAAAAAAAAAAAATCGTCCAGAAGTCGCTTTCCACGCGCGGAGCTCGGAATGAATCATAGCATTATGCGGAGAACGAGGGCAGAAGAGCTTTCCGGAGCACGCCGCGCGCGCACACATTGGAATTTCGCTCGGCTCCTGCGGCTGCTACTTGCGCCATTTGTCGTCGCATTGGCGCCGTGCGACGCCAAGGCTAAGTGTTGCTTTTTCTCGTTTACTATCTCCTCTCTCTCTCTCAAGTTACCACTGGGCTCCTTGGCTACGTCTACGTATGCGCGCGAGTTTGAACGATCGACCGTCTTCTTGTTTCTCCTTTCTCCGTCGCGTACCGATTTGGTTTTATCTTTCTTTCTTTTTTTTTCCTTCTCATTGTACGAGAGAGCGATTCCGAAGATGTATTTTGTTCAAGGATTTCTCGCGAAGATAGTTCAGCTAATTAAGAGCCGGGAGCGGAGCGTACGAGCAATCTGCTGCAATTTTATCGTTCGAAACGAGACGACCGAATTAAATGTAAAAGCTCGACGGGGAAAAAAGACGCGCGCGCAGGTGTTAAGACAGAAAGATTACGACATCCATTTAAATTTCGATATTAGATAGGCACTACGTTTTCCCGCGCTCGCTCCAAGACTAATCGGAGCGGACGGCGTTCCCATGCTGTTTAAACGTTTCGGTGTGTAATTATCAAGTAACAATCGCGGCAGTGCGCCGTGGTTATTAATGAACCCTGAGGAAATATTGACGTTACTTCGATAAAGCGCAAAAACATCGTTAGTCTTAATCGGTACAATGGAAGAGGCTCCATTCAAGCAAAGAGCAACACGACGAAACGCACGAGTTCGATCCAACGTAAACGAGGAAGAAAGCCAGCATTGATAAATCGTCGCGTCTGTAATCGGCGTCGCATCTCGAAACTCGCGGCGTACGCGAGAGCTTTCAAGCCTCTCGTATCGCGGGGATCGCGAGGTTTTTTTTCTTATCGCGAAATTTTCCACTCGAGCGACGCGCGCTCGCGGGGGCTTGCGCATACGCCGAGAGCAGCGTCCTTCTTCGGAGACCGCGAGAGAGTAAGAGTGATAGAATCAGCCGCGACTCTGAAAATTGAAAGTATGCTGCCGCTGACTCGCTCTAAGCGTCATTTTTTTTTCTTCTGATTTTGTTCTCGAGGCTCCGCTCAATTAGCCGCGATCGATCGAACGAAGGGCTTGATAACGCGCAACTGCCGCTCGCTCGCCGGCGAGCTCGAGTCCGAGAGAAGCTTTATTCATCGACGTGCATTCGTCGTTTCTCACCTAAAGAACGCAGTCGCGAGCCAACCGCTCGTATCCAAGTCCGAGCTTCGGGATATTCTCGAACGGACGGTGAAGCGAGCGACCTTCGTTCGATACGGACGAACGTGAAAAAATAGACACTCTCGGAGCTGAGAACGACGAGGAGCCGCGCTGCCGGCGATAACGCCCTCGCAGCCGAATTAAGCCGACGACGGACAGATCGAAGGCGCGCGATCGGGATACCACGGGCCGGGGCAGTCGCGCTCCGCCGCGAGAGGAGCGACGGAAGCCAAGAGGCGCAGTGTGGGAACGCGCGCGGAGCATTAGCTCGCCGTCGACGCTCGGCAGGCTGCGGCCATTTTGATTCGGCGTGATGTCACGAGTTGCTGGCCTACTTAGCCTCTCGGCGCGCTCCACGTGCACGGGTCGATGACCCCCGCTCTCGCCGCCGCGAGTCCCCCTCCGCCCCGGTTTTTTTTCCTCATCCTCCTCCTCCTCCTCCTCCTCCTCCTCCTCCTCGTCGCCGCCGACTTTCCACGCGCCGTCCCGCCAACTTTTGCACGCACGCAGCCCGCCGAGCCCCGACGGCCGGGGCGCGCGATTCATAGGAGGGAGGGCGAGTCCAGAGAGAGAAGAAGCTGCAGGAGATTTCGAACGCGCGTTCCGCCACTCCAGCCGGCTACGTTCCTTTCCCGCAAATTCAAGGAAAATATCGCGTGCTCCTACGCCGCGAGCCACCGCGGATTCCGGAACTTCGTCCGCCGACGTTCTCCGCGATGTTTCCGAGCGGTTTCGATCGTCCGGCCGACAGTCGAAAAACGAGGATCGCGCGGCCCGGCGACAAGGGCGCGCGGCTCCGTCCGCGGTGCGCGCTGGAAGTGGTGTCCTCCTGTTCGCGCGCTTCGCCGGCCCCGAGCCGCTGCGCTCGGCATTATTTTTAGCCGGCGCCGCGCGGGCGATCGCCAAAGTTTTTGCTAGTACGCTCGGGCGCCGAGCTTCTATTGATAGAGAGCCTTATTATTATTGCCGAGTTTCGCGAGTCGAATCCGCCCGAATCTCATCCCTCGTCGCTCGTCGCGCGCGTGCGCGAGAAAAACAGTCGGCGCGCCGAGCTTTCGTACGCGGAGCACTCGCAACTTTGCGGATCTCCAGCGAGGAATCTCATCGCCGGCGCGTCGCACGAGAGGCCGCGCGTTTCTCATTCTCGCGTTAACGACCAACCGTCACGGGAATCCATTATCAACTGATCTGGATTGGAATCGAAGCCGTGGATAACGCAATTGCACGTAGCTCGTCTGCAAAAATAGTACCTAAATTTATCCCGTGAAAACCTTCCTAAGCATTAGTATTTAATAATAGCTGACATTTCAATAGCCATCCAGCGCATAATATCCATAACTCGCAAGCCGCAACAAAGGGGTGAGTAGGCGAGCGCTTGTCGACAATAGAGGAAAACGCCCTTGCACGGCGAGTCTCCCGAGGCCAACAACGTGCTCGCTCGTCTCCTCCAATTAGCGACGATCGTTCGCGCGCGAAAGCCACGTCTGTCGGAGATGCTTATAGAGTCCATCGATGCCCCGTCCGCGTGATCGTTGGATTTGCCGGCGTCTTCGCGCCTCCTCGAACGGAATGCAGCTTCGCGTCCGCTCCCGTGGCCGCAAGCCCTGCCCGCGCGGACGATCGCTCTCCGTTCGACTTCCCCCCCCCCCCCCCCCCCCCCCGAATCGCACGGCTCTGCGATCTACGCGAGAGAAGTCTCGGCAAAGCGCCGATCCGCTTCTTTATTCGCTGCTGTTTTTCTTCGTCTTTCTCGCGCGCGTAAGCTGCTTCTCTCCCGCTCTCGCCCGTACCGTCCCAGTTGCACGCGATGTACGTAAGTGCGAAGTCCTACAAAAGCTTAAGAGCGTTTTCTAAATTGAATTAAAAACAACCAAAACCTTATCGAGTAATACGCTTAGCTGGATAAAAGGGAAATGAAGCAGTGGACGTGTACGCCGCCGGCCCTTATCGAAATATAAGACCGGCTTTTCCTCGTCGTTTCTTCCTTCCAATTCCCGACTGTGCATGAGCAAATGGGAAATTGTCGTGTCGCGCTCGGCCGAGTCACGCGTCCCATTACTCACGATAACGTCGGCGGTGCACGCCTTAATGACCCAAACGGATTTTATTATAATTATACAGGTGTGCGCTCGCGCGTACGTTCGTGCGCGAGCAGCAGCCTCAAGGGCGATTTCGTCGTCCGGGAAAACCGCTGGAACGCCGTAGCTGCACGTAGCTCGTATGTAGAAAGTCTCGCTGTCGCTCGCTGCCTTTTCGTGTCTGCAGACTTGGTCTCGAGGCGACGGACTGCGAGCTCCTGATTGATCGATTGTGGGCTCGTTAGCTGCTACGTGATATTTTCAAGCTGAAATGATTGACAAGAACGAAGAGTTTCACCGATTTCGTGACAATTTTCCATCAGAATTTAGCCACGGGCAAAATTCTCAATGAAACTAATATCCATTATGTAGCTTCTGGACTCGTGATAGGTAGCAGCGTAAATCAAAATTAAATTCACAGCGGGCTGCTTACGTTCTTGCGCCATGTGGCTGCAACAGCAGCTAAGCTCGCGTCGCGCGACTCGCGCGTTATAATATTTTTGCTCTAATTCTCGCGACCTAGGTGGAACTTTGGGAAAGAGCTGGCTGCCGCCGAGGGAAAATGGATGAGATTCGAATGGCAAACACCTGGCGCCGACTCGCTCG